TCGAAGCTCTAAAAAACAGCCTGTAGAAGTGTTTCATTTGGAGAAATAGTTTCATAAGAAATTGGAGTTTTATAAGTGACCCTGAAGAAAAAGGGTACTTTTTTATGTCACAGCGGTATGCAATCAAAAATTCATTCTGGAAGCTCGAGAGTTTAATCAAAAAAACGTCGTTGTTTTTTTGAAATAGATAGAGCACGATAATCTGCGTTGAATGGCGTTTAAATTAACTTTCTATCTCTCATAGTTTCCGAGATAATTAAAAAAATTGTGTCAAAAATGTCACAACGTTACGTTTGAACAAGCTAAAATATCTGTTTTCATAGCTTAAATATGATCAACAGAGCAAAAAAGAGACATTAATGTATATCACCAACTGACTTGGATAGAAACGAACATAATTACTTAGCTTATGGGCTTATAATATAAAAATAAAAAATCTATTTTGTCACTATAAAGACCTCGAGTGTATTGAGACTTTTTATGGATTATTATTCATACTGATTCCATCAAGATTTTATTTAGAATCTTTCGTTTTTTTTTTTTTTGTTTCTCGATTTATATTTCTTAATAGTTCTTTAATTGAAAACTAAAAAGAAAATTTCAATAAAAATACTAATGCTATATGACACGATTTCTATTGGAAAAAAAAAATATTTATTTCAATTAAGATATTCAATTTTTCTTTTCTTAAATCTTACTTATTGATAAATTTCTTAACAATAAATCATAGAATGTTTTTGAATATAAATTTTCCTCTCTCTATATATATATTAAATCTAAATATGATTATTGAAAGAAAATCAGCATTGTTGATAAGACATTATAGAAGAGAATATGTCACTATAAAGTATGACACGGAAATGAGCTTTTTTTTCAAAAATATTTTTCAATTAAATAGAAAATCATACGTTTTATTATAGATAATAAGAAATACTTCAATTATGCACTTAAATATTCATGATGAATATCATTGTTTTTTTTTCAAGTTGACAACTCATTTTTTTTTAACCATATTTCAGTTTTTTTTTTATTGGATCCTAGACATTTATTTTCATTATTAAATAAAATGGCTTAGCTTTTTCTTTTTTAGTATCAAGATGATTATTTTTAAAATGAAATACATATAATTAATATATGACTTAAATATTCAATAATAAGAAATAATTTCTATTGAAATTGTTCTTTAATAATAGAGTTTTACATATGAATATATCAATTAAATAATTTTTTTTTTTTTAAGATGTCAAGTTAATAATCGATTATAATTAGTTCGAGATTGTTTTATAGAAATGAATTATATTAACATGACTATTTTACTTTCTTTACATGAAATTATTTTTAAAGTTTTTTTTTTTTTTTGTATGTTTGTTAGGTTATTGATAGAATAAAATTCTATTCGATTCAAACTAGAGAAAAAAAAAAGAGATAAGAAGTCAAGCAGTGATGAATCATGTTTATCATACGAAGATATTTATTAACTAATTTATATATTGAAATTTGTCAATATTCTATTGTTAATATAATAAGAAGAAATAATTATTTATTATATTTTTTTATGATATATGATTAAATTAAAAATAATTTAAAAATAAAAGATAACATGTTAATAAGATAGATTTTTTCTACAATAATAAATGAATCTATTTCTTCTTTTTATGTTCATTGTTACTATTGAGATAATAAATATTAAAATAGGATATATATATATAATAGAGTTTATCACGGAAAATTGGCATTTTATAATAGATTAATTTTGACTATATTTTGATGAAATCATTCTATCTATATCTAAATATATATATATATGTGCCTTGAAGATAATGATTAGCATTTTTTAATTTGATATGTTGATATATTTATTAAAACAAAAAAAAGGAAAGATTGATAAAAAAAAACCAAGTAAATGCAAAAGCGCAAAGTATGAAGAAGAGAAAAAAAAAAAAGTTGAAAATAGTTCTATCAAAATAATAAGTCGTCAGTTTGCACTTTTTTTTTTCTCTTTGTTCCGTTGTCGTTGTTGGTTTATGTCGAAAGCAACAGTTTTCTTCCGCTTAGAAAATTTAGTTAAATGTTCATTGGTAATTTAGTTGTTATTGTATGTTTAACACCTGACATCAATTTATTTCAAAAGAGAAAAAAAAAAAACGATATATAAGTTGACATGTTTGAGACAAGTTAATAGAATGAGTAAGAAAGAAAAAAGAAAAAACGTTGGCTAAATATTACATGATATTCTTAGATTTTCTCGGATCATTTTTCTTGTTCTTATTTAGTCTTCTTTTATTGTTTGCTTGAAGTAAGTCTCAATAAAAAGATATTATATCTTTATCTCTAACAATAAAAAAAAAAAAAGATAAAAATAGATGAAATCAAATAAGGAAATAGACGTCATCAATTCTCATTAGAAACTTTTTTTTTTGTTTCGAAAGCTTCATCTTATTTCTTTTTTTTGCTTCAACTTCTTTATATAACAAATAGATACATGCAACAAAAATTTAAAAAAAAAAAATTATGTTTAACAACAAAAAAAGAAAAACCAGATGCTCTTTTATGCATCAACTTGCATTATGCTGTTACCCTTAGTCAAGAATATCTCAAATAGATCTTTTTTCTTTTCTCTTTGATGCACTTTCTTTGATTATCTTCAATAAGTCTTTTCTTTTTCTTGTTCTTGTTCTTGTTCTGCTACTGATGATGATGGAAAAACTAAGATGACACATAAGGTTGATTAATTAATATATATGAATAGAATAACGATTATTGAAATAAGTATTATTTCGTATTAGTAAGACAAACAATAAATTTTATTTACAATTAACTATTGATTAGAATATATGACAAATATTTATTATCTAAATTTTTCGAATTATTTAATTCTATTCAATTCTATCTTATTAATAAAGATGTCATCTATCTTTCTCGAAGATCTATGCTCTTTTGCATCCAATTGTATACATATATATAGCTTGAAGACAAGTATAGTTGTCTCAAGGTAAGTTTATTTATTAAGGTCCATTATAATGATAATAATAAATAAGTGAGTAAGCAGTTCTCTCTATATGTACTCTTTTATGAATATATTCAAGATTGATCAAAATGCTAGACACAACAGAGAGACAAATAAAAAATGTCGTCTCTCCATATGTTATGAATCAACTTTCTACATTGAGGGAACTATCAAAAAAAAAAAACGAGCAGAGAAAAAGAAGAAAAATAAAAGAATCAAATGGAATTCTGTTTTTCTTTGTTAGCTAAGAAAAAAAAACAAATATATATATATAAAAGAATTTTAGTATTTTTTTATCTATCAATAAAATTCTATTGAAATTTTATTTTAAATTGAAATAATAATGTAAGTAAAATAAAAAAATTTTTTTTTTTTTTTGTATAGTTTAATGATAACGATAATAAATCATTGTTAAAAAGACTTATTTGATTATTTTCTTTGAATTAGTAACATTGAACAAAGATAATTCATTGCAAAAAAAACAACAAATCCTTTATTCGATTGATGATAATAGAAAGAGAATCTCATATATCATATTGACAGAATAATCTATTAAAAAATCTTATTGATAATATCATATATTCAATAATATTGATCGATTTCTATCTTATAATCTATTTGTTTCGAGGTTATTTAGTACTAGAATTCATTTAATCTATTTCTCATTATTTATCTTCACTTTATCTAAATATACAATTTATAATGATTATTAATAGACCTATTTTATAATGAGTTTATTCAGATTTAATTAAAAACGAATGTCAATCATCATTATCATATTAACCTATTTTTTTTGTTGAAAAAATAATAATAAACATCAGTTCATATCATCAGAAAAAAAAAATCTCAACTAATTATTTAATATATAAAACAAAAACAAAAAGCAAGAATAAATATATATGAAATGCTTAAAGTGCAGATACTAAGTATAGACAGTAATGGATGTTAGTTATAATAATAAATAGATATTGATTTTCATTTGACCTTGTTTTATAGATTGATTAGATTTTTGTTTTTGGTGTTAACTTTTATATTGATTTATTTATTGTTTATTTAAAACGCATAATAAAGAAAAAACAATAGATATATGTCATTAAAGTGCATATTATATTCTATTTATTTTTTAATGAAGTGAGGAAATATGATAATAATAATGTGTAAAGCTTTAGTTCCAAGACATGCTAAGAGAAAAGCTTCTTTATTTTATATTTTATGTCGAATATACTCTTTATTATTACTTTTACAAACGTCAATCTTTTTTTTTTTTTTGTTCTATAGGAAAAAATTTTTTTTTTGCTTGACAAGAAAAATTTTCATTATTATTTTAAATCTAAAACAGCAAGGATAATTATGTCATAAATAGAATGTGTAAACGTCAATTAGACTAACATATATCATTGATTTAGCAAGAATTCTATATAAACATATTTTACTTGTCATTACCGACAATATTTTGACATTTTTCATCAGTTTTCTTTTTTTTTTTGTGTTTTTACATTCGAAATAAACAAAATTGATTATCTATTTTTAAATGATATTATTCTAGATATATATTTATTTTTTGTTTACTAATGATTAAATTAACTATAGATATATATATAGTTAAATTTAATCAGTATAGTTATATAATTCTCTTCAGAGATGGACAAAGTCGCACCGCGCCGTTGCTCACGCCTACTCTACACTAGTCTAAGCTTCGATGAGGGCATGCTTAGAGCATCCCGGTATTCGGTGGAGTTTGAGAAAGTGATTGGTAGAGCAAAGAGAAAGAGAGATATGCGTAGCGGGGAGACGCGGTACGATTTTGTCCAACTCTGATTCTCTTAATATATACTATTTCATGATCGTTTATTGTTTTTTTTTATTCAATCTAGATGAAAAATGAATGATTATTTATTTTGTATATAAATTTTATTTGAATAAAATTAATGTATAATTATAAAAAAAAGAAAAACTATTTTAAAATGTATTAATAGAATAATTGTATAAAATAATGAATATATCTCAAATGTTATCTGTACCATTAACACGTGTACGTTCACAAAAACTTAAACGACAAACAACAATTGAAGATGATATTGATATTCAACAAAATCAATCATCTAAATCAATTCCATCAGATTATGAATCAAATTCATCACGTTCACTTTCACCTTATTGGCGTATTATTATGGATCCTGAATCATCATCAAGTTATTTAGATGTACCTGATACATCAAATAATAGTCGACGATCATCAAATAATAGTGTTGTACGTTTTATTCAAAATGATGCATCTGATCTATGTTCAATTCTTGATATGACTGTAATTTTATTCATAAAAAAAAAAAAACAATTTTTTTTTTTCTTTTCTTAAAATAATTTATTTATTTAGAATGAATCTGAAAATCTTGAAAAAGCAATAATTAATAATGATAAATATACAGTACGTCGTATAATTGATATACATAAAAATAAATTTAATTTAATAAAAGATAATATTAATCAATCAGAAAATTTATTAATTTATCCAATTCATCGATTACGAACAAGTCAACCAATTATTTATAAAAATCCATCAAATGGTTCACCATCTATAACAAGTAATACGGATTTATTAGAAGCATATAGTAAACAAGCATTAGTTAGTTATGATACTGATGATCCACCATCAATATCATCAATTGAACATCAAAATAATCATATATTAACATCATCAACAGCTACAATTATTAATAATCAACAATATATAACAAATCAAAATAATAATATTAAAACAAATTTATCTTCTCACAATATAACATCATCTATAAATGATCCTATTGAAAATGATAATGATTCAATATATACATCAATACCAGCAACAACATTTAATAAACAAATTCGATATACAAATAATGATTCACCTAATGATGCACCTCCTATTTTTAGAAATGTTTTACATGTTGCTATTATCTATGGTAAGAATTTTTTTTTTTTATTAAACACCATTCGAAAATGAATATACTATGATTATATGTTCAATTGAACATGAGTTAATATAGTATTTCTTAGTTAAAACTAATCCTTCTCTTCTCTCAGAAATTTTTTGGTTCTCATGAAAAACTAGAATTGTTTCTCATTTTCGAAGTTCTTCAGAATCGAGTGAGTGAGATGCGTCAATTCATCCTATTCAAAATACGATATTTTTTTAAATAAACTTTCATAAGAAAACTATGAAAATTCTTGATCTTATCGAAAACAAATCTATCTTTAATAAATATTATTTGATATGCTCAAACTATTTTTTACTTAGTCAAAGCTTCTAGATCATGTTCTAAACGATTCTATCTGATGAATTCTAAAAGTTTTTTTTATACAGTTCTAATAAATAAAGAAGAAGACTTTAGTGTTTTCTGAGATCTTCATAGACGAACTTACAAATATATATCAGATTGATGATCATATCGTTCATGTTATCACAAATTTAAATGATTAAGTGAAATTCTATTCATTGTAATCGTAAAACATGAATGTGTCACTTTTACGATAAAAAAAAATGTGAACTTAAAGGACATTTTCTTAGAAATTTTAAACTGTTGTAATACTAACTTCAAACAGTTCTGTCTTAATTAAGAATATGCAAGACTGATTCTACTCCAGTCTGAAATCCTGTTTCCGCCGTTAATTTTTCCTCCACCTTTGATTAGCTACAATTCTGAAGAGAAGATCATTTGTCTGTACACATTAATATAGTAACAAAGATAGGTGTATATCACAAGCTAGTCAATATGATATTCTACGACTCATACAAGATAAATAATCGTTTCATTGTAAAGTTCTAAATGTTAGAGGACAAAGTTCATTTTCTATCTATTGTCATTATAATAAGAGATGAATATTAGCTATTTTAATTGAAAATAATCATTTGAAAGATGAAATAAAAAAAAAAAACAAATTATTATTTAGATGCTCGTGATGTAATGCGTATTTGTTTAAAATATGGTATTGATCCAAATATTGGTGGTATTAATCCAAATATTCAACAAATATCATCAAATAATTATAATCAAATAAATAGTAATTTATCAAATGATTTACCTCATGCATCATCTTGTCGTGATGGTACATTAGATTATACAAGTTATTATACAACTGAACGTTTATTTACTTTACCACCATTATTTTTAGCTGCTCAACGTAATAATCATTATGCTTGTATACTTTTACTTAAATATGGTGCAAATGTAAATATACATGATGAACAATATTGTAGTCCATTACATTTAGCTGCACGTTTACAACATAATGTATCTGAAATTTTAATATATAATCATGCATTAATAACAATAGAAAATAAATATGGTGATACACCATTATCATTATGGCCAATTATAAAACAAATTCAAATTGTATTTATTGAAAAAGAATTTCGTAAATTATGTCGTAAACATTCATCAAATTGTAAACGTTATCGATTTATAACACGTGATAATGAACAATGTCAAGGAGGTATATCATTAATTAATAATAATAATAATAATTCAAATAATTTAAATAATGGTTTAATACCATCAAATGGTTTAAAAAATTTAAAACGTGTTTTTCGTTATAGTGGAAGTGATTCATATGATTCAAAATCATTTAAAAAAAGTTTTTCATCACAAGGTTCAATTGGAAAATCTAAACGTCTTATTACAAATAATAATAATCAACAAAATATACCAACAACATCATTTATTCGAAATGATTCAAAACAAATTTCAGATGAACATGATGATTTTGATATTTCATATTTTCATAGACAATCGATTTTTAAACGAAAAGTAAGTTATATTACACTTTTTATTTTTCTCGTTTTGTTTTGTTTTCAATTTATTTAATATAAGAAAGATTTAAATAAAAAACAAAATGAACATTTAAGTCATTCTAATCATTATTTATAATAATAGATTTATTTAAAAGAATTTTAAAAATATAATTAATCACATCAAACTTTTAATCTTTCATCTGTTAGCAGACATAGACACACTCGATATTAGGTCTATAGATAGATAGCCCTACGGTCTCATACTCATTTATTGCACATATTTTTATAGATCATGTAGTCTTCGCTCTTATAGCCTTACATCCCTTGTAGATTTATCACCTTATTGCCTCATTTCCTTCAAGGCCTGAGAGTATCCTATAGAACGGTTCTTGAAGACCTATGAACATCCTCATAGGATACCCCTTGAGGACCTATGGATACCCCATATAGTAGCCCTTGGGTGCTTTCCCTTATAGCCTTATTCGACCTTTAACCCGGCACAGACACACACTGAATATTATATATATAGATTTTATAGAATATTTTTTTGTATTTATGCTTCATTTATCAATGCTATCATCAACATATTTTAAAATATTTAACAAAAAACAAAGATATTTTTATTTAACTAAATCTTAATTTAAGCCCCCCCCCCCCCTCACAAACGAACTTTTTTATTTTTCCATGGAATTCAATCAAAATTTCAGAGAATGTTAGTCTTGGTTAGAGTAGATTATGGTTAAAATCTGCGAGACATTCACAAGTTATAATCAATTTATTGATCAAAAATACCTTGTATGCGAGCAAGGTTTTCATAATTAGGACACGAACTAACATGGCAGGGCTATTTTTAAATTGTAGAGTACCCTTGACGCTAGATCCTCACAGAGCCCAATTTTTGAAATTCTCTTTGTGTTTTATAAAAAATTCTCGAATTCATAGTCAAAAAAATCGCTGATAAAAATAAGGTATGTAAGTCTTTTATTTTTGACCAATATAGAAATTCAAAAATCAGGCTCGGTGAGAATCTAGTCCTAACTGTCCTCTATACAATAAAAACAATTATCACTTCTATATTGAGTAAGGTTTGCTCGCGCAAACAGTATACTCGAAAAAAAAGTTTTTACAAATCGTTTTTTTTTCCAGTATGAAGGTTCCGAAAAACTTATGTAATATTCTTAAAGCTCATCATAAAATCACTCAACTATAGTGCAATCGAGAGTAGATGCTTTGCTCTATCTAACGAGTTATAAATCACAAAATTGATGAATTTTGACAAAAATTGACTTTGTCTGAGAGAAGGGAGTAATCAAATATTAATTAGAAGTTTTTTATTTTAAATATACATATATATTTTTATTTTACTTTAACATAATAAAATCGATTGTTTTCAATCTATTAACAAAAAAACATATGTACTTATATTCAATGTCAGTTAACTAATGAGAAAAATCTATGTTTTTCTTATCGATAACGACTGTGAGAAAGGCGACAAACTTGTCAAATACATTATTTAACATATTAGTTTCATGTCAAACTAACATATAAGTATACTTGAAAATAACCAATAATGATAGACATTACAAAAATCTATATTTCCATTATGAGATGAACATTCTAATAATTGTGTTTTTTTTTTTCATCGAAAAAACAAAAAATGTCACATAGGTTTTACTTAAATTCATCTTATCGTTGATTGATTTTTTTTTCTTCTTGCATTAAACAATTAACATAGAAACTACTAAGTACAACCATATACATTTATATATATATATATAAGTGAGAAATGAGTCTTGTTTTTCTGAGGCATTATCAAGAAAAAACATCCGTTTTATTATCAATAAAGTGGTATTGAATAAAAGTAAATATGCACTTATCGAGCAATCTTATTTGATAAGATAGTTTCTCTTATGTTTTGTCAAATAATATTAAATAGATTTTTAATAATCATTCGAAATAAATCCTATAAAATATATAGTCAATTTATTAACATACGAGGTAAATTACTATTTATTATTAAATAATAATATTTTCTATAGTTTATTTTTCATATCAAATATTTCATTTAAAATTAAATTCAACAGATTTCTAATCGATATTTCATTAATTATAAGAAATATATTAATTGAATATTCCTTTATGTTTAAATTAAATAATCTATCAAGAAATATATTTATGATGATAATAAGTCCATCAGTTTTTTTTTGTTTATTCTATAAAATTTTGTTGTTTGATTCTATTATATATAGAATATAAATTAAAATATTTATCAATTAAATTAATAAGACTATATTTAGAAAATACATCACTATTAATTAACAAATGATTTATCTTTTTTTTATATAACCTAAAAAGATTTTATTAAATATCAATATTTTATTTTTGATTATTTTCACTAATATTTCAATATTAATTAAGATAAATTAGCATAGACAACTATAAAAAAAAAATGGTCAGTACATATTATACATTAATCATTCTTAACAACAACATTTATTATTTTCTTTAGATTCGACACATAAAAACAAAAAAAATATCAGTTTAATAAAATAGTTCTAATATATAATGTCTACTAAAAAGAAAAGAAAAATTCTTGATAAATATTCTCGAAATAAAATCGACACTTAAAAAGTGTTATATAACTCAAAAAGAAAGAAACAAAGAATCTTCTTATAAATTATAATGAATATAATGATATATTAATTGAATTAAATTCTTATATTTAATTCAATAGAAAAAATAAATGAAATGATTGATTTCATTGTCATTCATTGTTCAATATGAACTTAAAGTTTCTTTTTTGTTTTTTGTCTTTGTTTTATTATTTTCGTCAATATTCTTCTAAATAACAAATATAGATTAAATAAATCGAGCATAAAAATATCTGTGAATAATTAAAGAAATATTGGCTAATAATTTATAGTGCATGTCTCATTTGTTCTATTTTGTTTGCATTGTCGATATATTTTTTAACATTGATATATATCGATTTAGACGGGAAGTTCGTCGTTGGCTGCAAACATACTACATGCTCATAAATCATCACGTCAACAACAACACTCAACAGTGGCAACGAATCATACATCTACAGAAAGTGAGTTATAGAACGACAAATCCATCGATCTCATATTTTCTTACTGATCTCTTTGGGACATGTTTATGTAACCAAAAAAATCAGTTTTCTTTTCTCTTTCTTTCGTTCTTAACCTTAAGGCGATCTTGTATATTTGTCTATTCACCTTTTAATAATGCAAGATTAGATATCGAAGCTATGTTCGATAATTAAACTCTGATAATGAAAAAGAAAAAAAAAAAGAAATCAAACTAATGTTAATATTTAATTAGTTTTAATTTAATTAATTGTATATATTCTAAAAACCAAAAAAAAAATGTTCAAGGTAAATTCTAGTTAATAGATAATATATTTCGAATAATGTTATTATCAATCTAGATGACTATTAAAAGTTAGTTTTTTGAATAAAATTTGTCTAGAATTGCATAAATAAATATTTAACTGTAAGAAGAAAAAAACAATGATTTGATATAGTTAATATTTGATTAATTGATGAAATTCTAATTATAAATACGTAAGGTATGTCAATGAGAATACTGTTTTTTATTTTCTTTTGTCATATAAAATAATATGAACGGTTGTCACTTCCGATGAGAATTTTTTTTTTTTTTTCCCCCATTAACATATTCTATTATAGATTGTTCTATATATGAATATATTCATCATGACATAAAACAAAACTTTTGTTTCTCTTTGATGTGATCTTTTTTTTTTTTTTTGAATAAATAATATAGATAAATTTAATAGTAATTAAGTTAAGTTTTCTTTTTTATTTTTATAAAATATATTAATAATCAATGTTTAGAATAGATATTATATTTAGTCTAAAAAATTCTTCTAAGACAAAGATTTTTTTTTTGTTTATTTTAATAAATTTATCAATAAAAAAAAGTGAAGAATATTCTTTATTTGATCTTCTAATATATATGTTTTGTTTTTTCAGCATTAGATAAAAATTAGTTCGAGTTTCTCTATTAAAAGTTATGTTTATTTATTTAATTAATAGTTCAAATATTTTAATCTTAAAACAATATAAATTATCAATTTTGTTTATATCTATTCTATTAGTTGAGCAAATTTAAAGGTTAAATAATTAATTCGAAATAAATTCATTTTGAAAATGATATTGGATTATATCATTCTATAAATTATAGAAAATTTTTCGAAAAAAAAAAAGAAAGAAAATTGAGTATCGTTTTTCATAATAATATTCCTTTGATGTTTAAATAGATCATTACATTTTAAATTATAAATATTTTTATTATAAAATAGTTTTGAAAAAAAAACATATTTTCTTTGAAAACTAATCGAAACATTAATATTATTGTTTTCTTTTTTCTCTTAACGTATTTTCATCATAGTTGATTGCATTTTCCTACAGATTCTTGTTCCCTTATGACTGATTATTATTATATATAAAGAAAGAACAACAAAAAAAAAACGATGTAACTAAAATAGTTGACAGTTATATATATATATAATTGTTATTTTATTTATTATAGCCAATGCTTTGATTGATCGTCTATCGAAACGATTTTCTGAATTAAGTCGATTGGCCACTAATATCGAATGTATCGATCAACTGATGGATTTATTGCGTATGCAAACTTCCATAGACGAAATATTGTCTTTAATAAGTCAAGCAACATCACCACAACTACATATGAGAGTTGCAGAACTTCTTCATACATTAGTTAATGTAAGTATTATTTCAATTGATTTTATAATCTAAAACGAATGTTGAAATAATAATGGAAAATCTATGTTCTATATTCAATTATAATTTTATATTAAAAGTGACATATTATATTGATTTATTAAATAGTTGCTTTTTTAGTTATTCGAATGAGAACGAATAAACAAGAATATATTCAATTTTATATTAAAAAATAAAAACGACTAAAATTTCATATCTATTCGAAATAATAAAACAAAGTCGAATTGAAGAAAAACTTTATTTGATTGTCACAACGTTGTAGTTATGTATCATTTATATATATTCAATTTAAATTCTATTCAGTAAATCTCTTAGCTTTAAAAGATGATTTATCTCGATAAACAATTTATATTTAATTAATTAAAAAATAAAATTTAATGAAGAATTTGTTTTTAAATCAATGATCATCGTCGAGCGATGTTTTTCCTATAGAGTTCGAATAGAAAAATTTAAAAAAAAAAAAAAAACCTCAAATACATCTTATTTCAATCATATTATACTTGGAAATGACATCATCAATATATCTATATCCTACATTTCATTTATTTTAATCATTGAAAATTTTCAATATATTTATTTGATGTTAAACAATATTAATAAATAGATTTTATTCTATAAATTAATTAAAAAAAATTGAAAATTAAATCAAATAAGATTTTATTAATAATAGATTAAATGAATTCGAATATAAATTTTCAAAACTGAATTTTATATGACTTATTTTAAGCACAAAAAAAAAAGAAAAATGAGATTCATCTTTAATTATTGAATGAAAGAAATAATTTGAATTATTAATTTAATTCTTATGTGATATGAATAATATTGATTGTTGATTTGTTTGCTTGTTTTTTTTTAGACATCTTATCAAGAATTTTTACGTTATAGTGATAGACGTGAATATATAGAAAATTTTCGAAATCATACAAAAAAATTACTTGATATATCATTAGAATTCTTATCATCTGATATGGCATATATTCAATATTTATCATTAATAACAATAAATCATTTATATGATTTATATGTTTATCATAATTTATTAAATCCTGGTATATATAATACATGTTATATACCATCATCACGAAGACAATTAAATAATAATAATAATTTAATTAAAAATAAATCTCAACATTTAACTAATAATAAACATCAAAATAATATATCAAAAAAATCTTCAACATTATCAAATATATTACATCGAATATCACGTGATAATGATGATAAACGATCATCAATTAATTTAATAAAATCTACAAATTCAACACAACAATTATCGGGTTCAGTTCGATATTGTGCAAGTAATTTATTTTCTTTTTTTTTTTTTTAACAAATAATATATTTAAAAAAATCTCAATAATAATAATAATTTAGATCGTTCACCATCATCATCATCATTATCAATAACAACACCAGTAAAAGAATCAACAACAGATTTAACAAATCAACATATATTAAAATCAAATTTATTTAAATATGAATTTATTGATAAATTATCTAATCAAATAACAAATTCAATAAATACATATGAACCATTTTCAATTTTATATAAAATTGAACCAAATTATTTATTATGTTTAATGCGTCAACGTTTAGATGCACATAGAAATGAATTTAATAATCGTCCAAAATGTGTACCATCAACACGTACACCATTATGTACACATCATTGTGTTATTATATTAGCAGCTAGATTATTAACTATACTTTCACAAGATCAAAATTTTCAATTAAAATTTATTGAAAATAAACAAAATTTATCTATTATTATTGATATGTTAAATATAAATAATGATCCGGTAAATATTTTCTTTGTTTCATGATATTTTATTATTTATTCATATTTTAATAATATTATTTTTATTTAGCATTTAATTTGTTTAATATTACAAACATTGGGTATTATTGCATTGAATCCTAATTTTCATGAAGTATTAACTCAAGCTGATATACCTGATACTGTTTTACATTTAATATTACCAGCTGATGAAATGTTTTATACAAATCAAACAACAAAATTTGCTCGTTATGTTAAACATCTTGGAGCACGAATACTTGTTTATATGGGTTTATTAACTAAAATTAGTCATAAAGTTAATCTATTCGATATACTTGGTATGTAATTATCTTTTTACTAATGTATTATTTTAATTATATTAAAATACAAAAAAAAAAAGAAAACATTTTATAAATAGAAATTAATTATAGATTTCCCTTTATTTGATTTTTAAAGAACGTTTTTCGAAAAATATTCAAATTCGAGCAGCTAATAGAAATGAACTATCGAAATTTTTTATTTTAGCAAAAGAAAGTCCTAGCCCTACATGTCTCCTATATAATAAAAAAAAAAAAATTATCACTTCCATGTCGAATCGTTATGAAGAAAAACCTGCCCGCGTAAACTCCATGACAAAAAAAACTGATTTTGAGAAAAACGAAAAATAAGTTTATAAAAACCTTATTTTTTTTCAATATGAGGGTTCGGAAAAATCTATGTAATATTCTTAAATCTTATGATAAAATCAATCAACTATAGTGAATTCAAGAGTAGACACTTAGCTCTATCTAATGAGTCATAAATCAAAAAATCGATAAATTTGACCAAAATTGACTTTTCTGAGGGGGCCTTAATAAAATAATTTCAATTTTTTTAATCAATATATAATCATTAAGTTGAGTTTTATTTAATAAAAATATGTAAAACTATAAATATTTGTCTTATATAATAATAAAATATTTGAATTTTGTAAAAATCATCTTATTTTCTTAAAGACTACGATATTTTTTTTTTCAAAATTTGAGTCTATCAATTTTTTTCTCTCAACTCGATTGATTTTAGAAAATGAGATTTTATCAAGTGTATTTCATGATCGAGTTAACAACTATTTAAGGTAGACAAAATAACTCATAGTTATTAACTTAATCATTCAAAAATAATAGAAGATTATTATCAACTAATAACAATTGTTTATATAATATAAATTTAGATATTGAACCTGAAAATATTGATAGTGAAAAACCACAATCATTTGAAAATAATTTTGTTCATCATATGGCTATTGGAGAAACAATTGTCGGTAGATTATGGACATCATTTGATGGAATTTCAATTGAAAAATTACTTGATGAATTACTTAAAGTAATTTGAAAATTTTTGCTTTTCTTATTTTATTTTAAAAGAAAAAATTTAGAATGGAATAAATCAAAAAAAATCATTATCAAAAGAATCTGAAGATGTATATCAAAGTCGAATAAGTCAAACATCATCATTAACAATGATTAATTCAAATGATAATCTTCTTTATAATTTATCTTATTTATCATCTGTTATACATCCAGTTATTATTCTTCGATTACTTCAACATAAAATTTTTACACCATTATTTAAAAAAAAATCACATTTTAATAATTCATCAAATCAAACAAATGATTATTTATTAAATTCAAATAATGATACATCAATATTATCATCTATTCCAACATCAAATATTAATCATAAAATAATACAACAACAACAAAGTAATTCATTAATTAAATATTCAAAATCAATTAATGATAAAGATTATCAAATAAATGAAAATCAAAGAACAACATCAATATCAAATAATCAATCTGATTTATCATCAATTAAAACAAATAATTCAAATCAACCATTAACAACAACAACAACAACAACACGTAAATGGTTTTGGAAAAATTCCGATAAAGTAAATGAATTAAATGATATTAATCCATTATTAAAAAATATTGGTGAAAATGATTTATTATCATCATCATCATTAGGATGTATTTATTTATCTAAAAAAAATGAAAAACAAGTTGGAGATATGAAATTATTTGAAAAAGAATTATTAAATTTACCATCATTTCAATTAAGTGATTCACAAAATCCACTTTTACCAAGTCCAACTTGTTTAAGTTATGATTTTTCAACACAATTTTATCAAACAAATATTAATCTTAATCGACAATATTCAACATCAAATATAATAACAAATTCAAATCATTCTTTAACTAATCATTTACATAAATCAAAACAAAATAATCGTCATTGTAAGTTAATCATTTATTTATTATCTATTTTAAGAATTATTTCTATCTTATATCAATATATGATTATTAACTTTGACATTTATCCTCTTTCCATGTCGTGAGAATCACCGCGATTTTCGCGATTTTCTAAAAAATTGTCGTAAAATCGTGATTTATCGTATTTCTTTAAAAGATCGACGATTATATCAGATTTTATCGCGATTATGGGAGAAGAGCTGATTTTCAAAAAACATTGATAAATCATGACAATTATTCATTCACTGTTTTGTTATGAACACACACGGATATATAAACAACGCCGTTCAATGCATAACAAATAAGTTTTCGAAATATACTTTTCTGATAAATTGTTTCTTGGTTATTTTTAATGAAGGAAATGCCAATCCCGATCCATGATCTGGAGAGGACTACACTGAAGCGGTCTGATAAGAATCGGACCAGCTCGAGATCGGACAGATCGCACGATCTGGTCGGCTTGGATCTTGAGAACAAAAAAATTGAATTAAATTCAAGAAAAAAATCCAAATATCTGTCTCTAAAAGAACCAATGAAATAGTAGAAAATATCAGTAAACAGACGGTTAAATCTTGCATAAAATCACGATTTATCGTAAAAATCGCTGAAATAATCGGGAATAATCAGCGATCTATCGCGATTCACCTCACGATTATCGTTTCGATGAATCGGCAATTTTTAGCCGATTCAAAGGACATGGGAATGAAATAGTGTCTAAGATATAGTATCGTGAATATATTTGATAGAATTATTTTTTTTTCGTCGAGTAATTTTTCTTAAAAATTCCATAATTAATTAATTTGATTAAATCTATTTTCGACTTTTTTTTACAAAATGTTAAAGATAAGTAAGATTAAATAGTCGAAAAAAGTAATTCGATTATTGTTAGGTTAATTATTGAAAAAAAAAATGTTTAATAATTGAATATTTAAAAAAAAATATAATTTCTAGTGATATCACCAATGATAGAAAAAGGTATTGGTAAAATATTTTCATCACATAATATACCATTTATACCTGTTAATAAACCATCAAATGAAATAAATCAAAGATTAAATGTTCCATTAAATATATCAAGATCAATATCATCATCAAATATTGGTAAAACAGTTCAAAATAAAATAAAAAATTTATTTCGTACATCAAAAACAATTGATAATATGAATTATTTATTTGTAAATCGAAATAAATATTTATCTAAAACAAATGAAAATTTATTTATATGTAAATCTTCATCTAATTTATCACATTCTCAACCAAATCTTAATGAAAATTTTAATAATCATTCTGAAAAAAGTCCATTAATTAAATATGATAAAAATATTAAAATAACAACAAAATATGAAAATCAAAATAAATTAAATACTAAAATAAATTATTTACATCGTAGTCATTCATGTAATGATAATATTATTATTGAATCAAATAATAAACATTGTTCATTAATTAAAAATTTTAAAACAAATTCAACTAAAATTAAATTAAGAAATTCTTTAAATCAAAGTCAATCATCATTATCATTAAATAAACAAACAAATAATATTAATAAATCTGAACAATCTATATATAGTTATTCATCACAAATAGATAAACATAATTCAATTAAATCATTAGTTATTGATCAATATTCAAAAGATAAAACAACTAAACAAGATAATGATGTTCTTATTCTTATAGCAAGTTGGGTTTTAAGATCACCTGAAGATTTTCAAGGTTAACATAGAATTTTTTTTTTGTTTTGAAAATAAATATTATCTTTTTTATTTATTTATAGATTATCTTGTACAAAAAGAATTAAAAACTTTTTTTAGTTTACTTGAATCATTACGTTCTTCATTTCGTACATGGACAAGTCAAATAAAAGAAATTCTTGCACTTCAAGTTATATTTAAATATAATTTTTTTTTTTTTAAATATATTTAGATTTATTTTGTTTTAAGGATGACGATATACAATTAGATAAACAAATTGATGATGTTACTACAGAAGATATTTATCGTGAATATATTAAAATGCAACGAGATATTATTTATGGACGATTAATTTGTTCAAAAGAAGAAGCAGCTACATTAGCTGCTTTACAATTACGTATTCAAACATGGCCAGAAGAAAATATTGATATTATACAAGGTTATTGATTTTTGTTTTTGTTTTTGTTTTTTCTTATTTAATTATTTATATTTTAGAAGATGATTTTCATAGATTAAATATAAGATTAAATGATGAAAGATCATCAACTGTTAATTCTCTTGGTTTTGATAATAAATCATCATCATTAACTCAAAGAAATATTTCAAATATAATTCATATACGTTTATCTGATATATATTGTTGTAAACCTGTTGATTATAATTGTCATAAATCAAAAAAACCATATCTTCCACCGAATTTTCGTCATAGTAATGATATTTCAAAATTAATTAAAGTAAGTTTTTCACTTTGACTTTGTTTTTTTTTGTCTTGAATATGAACAGGTTCTTATTCACATAGATAATTATGAATATAAATCTTTTTCACATTATTTTACTTTAGTTTATTTTATCTGATTATAATTAATAATATTTAATTGTGAGAAGTAACGACATTATTTATAAATATTATTTTTATGAATTTGAAAGATTTATTTTAAAAAAGAAATTATTTTCTTGATCATACTTTTATAAACAAATAATAAGGTGCATATACATATGATAAAAATCTAATAGATTATAATCAATCATAGAAAAACAATTATCGAATATTGAAATTTATTTATATATTAATTATCGAAATAATAATTTATATATATATATTATGTTCAGTGTGTGTCTGTCTGTTACATGGTCAAAGGTTAAATAAAGCTATAAGGGAAAGGTCCAAGGACTATTATATGGGGGTACACTTAGGCCCTCAACGGCCGTTCTATGGAGTACTTATAGGTCTCAAGGGCTATTATATGAGAATCCCCATGGGTCCTCAATAGCTATTATATTGGGACACCCATAGGCCCTGAAAGGAGTAAGGAAATAATAAGATAATGCTACAAGGGATATAAGGCTGTAAGACTGAAAGCTAATGGACTATAAAAATATGTGCGATATAAGAGTAGGCGGTCGTAGGGCTAACTATCTATATACATCATATAGAGTGTCTGTTACCGAATGAAAAGTTAACCGTCTGAGGTCATACGTCAAAGGAGAAAACAGCGATGCAATATGCATAGGACCTTACTAGTTGATATATATATATGTTCGATTGTTGATCATTCAAGAAAATATTATCTTTCAATCAATAACATTACATAGACGAATGATTGTTTTCTTGACATATTCATCATTAATTAACCCTTAAAAGCCCAAGGGGGTTTTTCTTGCAATAGAAGGAAGACAACCATAAAAATAGAGCTGATGAATCATCAGTACACTCATACTACGACTAAAACGACGTACTTTATTCATCTTCTAGAGTTATACAACGTCCTTTAGCAAAAATCTTGGGCCTTGTAAAAACCTGAAAGAAAAGAATTTTCATCTAAAATTTTGTCCTTAATCAGTTTATAGGATCTTTAAATTGTCCTGAAATTTTCAGTCAAAACGGATGCTTTATTGTTGAGATATTGAACGGAGAAAAACTCATAAAATCCGACTTCTCTTCAACATGTCGTATTTCCAAGAGTAAACAACAGTTATTGCTGAAAATTTCAGAGTATTCTAAATAGCGTATCAACTATTTATGAGCAAAATTTCTTTGTTTCGATTTATTCTTGAGGTGAAATATCTCATAGAAGGAACATTTTCTTTTATGACAGTGTCTTGCGTTAGTAGAATAGTTTAAAATTTATGAGATGATTTCATCAGATATCTTAACACTATGTTTAACAATATTAAAATTTGTTTAGGATAAACAACGTAAATTATTTCATATAAATGATTATGATAATGCAAGACGTTTAAAAGAATGTTATATACGTTTATGTCGAAATTTACCTGGTTATAATGCTGAAATTTATCTTGTTAAAGAAATTCATGGAAAACGATCAAAACGAAAAGTTTGTTTTGTTTTAACATGAAATAAAAAAAAAAAGTCTAATTTTTTATTTAATTTCTTAGGAAAATCGACTTCTTTGTATTCGTTCAGATAAAATATATTTATTAGATAATAAAAATAATATAATATGTAAAGAAGAACGTATGGCTGATGTTGAACATTGGATAACAAGTGGACATGATTTAAATGCTCGAATAAATCAACTTATATTAGAATTTCGTAATAAAACAAAATGGCGTTTACAATTAAATACAACAGCTGATTTACGTGCTATAACTGTTTATTTATGGAAAATAGTTAATGTTGAAGGTTTTGCTTTACTTGATAAACATATTCCATTATGTTCATCATCATTATGTCGATATTCTCAAATAGAACAACAAACAAATAATTCATTAATAAATAATTTAAATAAAAAAAATCATTTTGAAAATTTAAAACCATTTATTGAAAATAATCGTCGTAAAATTTTAACAGGAATGATGATTAATTCATCATATATAAATCAATGTGATAATAATCAATTATATTCATTTTCACCTGATCTTGAAGAATTAAAAAATTTATTTGATTTTCCTGAAGAAGTAGCTATACGTTTAACTGATATTGAACATGAAATATTTCTTAGTGTACCACCATTACAATATTTAAGACATTTAACACTTGATATATCATATTTATCAACACATGATACTTCTTTACAAGGAAAAAATATTCGAATTCTCCTACAACGTTTTCAAGCTGTAAAATTTTTATTTGTTTTGTGCTTTTTTTGTTTTTTTTCTATATTAAAAAATTTATCTATAGGTTGGATCATTTATTCAACAATTAATTGTTTCTCAAACTAATTTTCAAGAACGTAAATCTCTAGTTGCATCAATACTTCGATGTGCTATTACTTGTTGGTATATTGGAAATTTTAATAGTGCTATGCAAATTTTAGCTGGATTAAAGTATGATTTTCTTTGTTCCCACTTTTTAAATGCTTTTCGGCGTTTGTTTTTTTCAAAGAAATTTTGGTGTTTTAACTGTTAATTTCTCTTGTTATTTGACATGGACTTGAATAGATCATTAGTTTGCTCTATCGATTCAGTTAATTTTGATCAGATTTTACGTCGAGTCTTATGAGTGAATACCTGAGAAAAATAATACAAACTTATCTGTCAAAATTTAACAGTCAAGATCAGAGATGGACAAAGTCGCACCGCGCCTCCCCGCGCCGTTGCTTACGCCTACGCTACACTAGTCTGAGCTTCGATGAGCGCATGCTTAGAGCATCCCGGTATTCGGTGGAGTTTGAGAAACTGATTGGTAGAGCAAAGAGAAAGAGAGATATGCGTAGCGCCTAGGCGCGGTGCGATTTTGTCCAACTCTGGTCAAGATTACTTCTCTCCTTGGTTTCAAACTTGTTTTATTTGATTTATTTCTTTTTGCATGAGGAAATTTTATCGATCTCTTTCATCTTAAAGCTATTTTCATTATTATTCAGTTCACAATTGCTGATATGGGCTAAATCATTCGTTAGCGACGTGACATCAACTGTCACTTGATATATTTTAGTTTTTGAAAATTTGTAAATTTTGTTCAATTGCCGAAAACTTAATACGTGATATTAGACATGACTCTCAATGTTAGGAGTCTCTAGAATAATACTGAGACAAACGTTTTTTGTTTCAACTCTGTCTAAAGCGACTTTGAAAGATCGATTTTTTGAAGGAACTTTTTGAAGTCCGATCTCACTGAAAATTTTACCATATATGCAGCTTATATTCTAGAGCCTATTCTGAAGTTTTCAAGGTTTTTTTCTCATTCGGTTATTGAGATATTCACTAATTAATTAATAATCATGTGAAAGAGCAGACAATTTTACATAAATCTATGCAAAAATAATTCACTTAAAAAACTTATACTGAAAGAGAATTGCATTCAAATACAACGGATGAATGTCTCGTGTTCGCTAAATTTAGTCCGTATATATGACCGTGATAAAATTTCGTTTGAGATTTTCTCGGATTTTATCAAATTTTTAGAAGAAGATCTGAAATAAATAAAATAAAAACTATATTATTTGATATGGTAGTCGATGTTGAAAATAATAAGCCTTTGATATATAACATAAATTTATTTAGAATTGAAGCATTTCGTCCATTATGGTTAACAATAACTGATGAAATTCCAGGTTTTAAATTACTTATGGATGCATTTAATTCAAATGAAAAAACAGCTCAATATTGTGATGCTCTTAGTCGAGCATTAGATATTCCAACATGTAAAGTAGTACCATTTTTTGGTACATTTCTTAAAGATCTTCGAACAATATTAAGTAGTGTACCAAGTATTGTTGTTTTATCCAATCGAAATACACAAAAAACAATTGAAGTTTGTCTTTTTTTTTGTTTTAAAACTAATTTTAATATTAATTATTTAGAATGTGTCAGATATTCAAAATCAAGACCATTATTTAACACGTAAGTTAAAATAATGTATGATGTAAAAGTAATGGGACAAATATCAACTCTTATCTGTCTTCAATAGAAGAATACTGAAAGGAATGTTTTTTTTATTTTTCATCAGAAGATAGAACTTTTTCTCTTCTTTCGAATAGTATATAGTTTTTTTTTTTCTATAACACTTTCATAAATGAAATGAGATAATAGAAAAGAGAAGTACTCTTAAAAAGAATTTCGTATTTTTCGTAAGTTTCAGAAAAGTGGTCCAAAACAGAGATGGACAAAATCGCACCGCGCCTCCCCGCGCTTCCCCGCGCCGTTGCTCACGCCTACGCTACACTAGTCTGAGCTTCGATGAGCGCATGCATAGAGCATCCCGGTACTCGGTGGAGTTTGAGAAACTGATTGGTAGAGCAAAGAGAAAGAGAGATGTGCGTAGCGCCTAGGCGCGAGCAGTGGCGCGGGGAAGCGCGGGGAGGCGCGGTGCGATTTTGTCCATCTCTGGTCCAAAATATTGATTTCTATATCACTTTGATAAATAGGTTCTGAAAAGAATACTTGTTTTTTTTTTTTTTATTCGTTGATAGAAAATTTTCAGTTCTATTGAACAATTAATAATTCATATTTGTTAACATTCACGCAATAAATTTATGAATTCATCAAAAACATCTTATTAGACAACAATTAATTCGATTTTTATTCATTTACTAAAAGAATTTTTTGAAGTGATGATTACTTCAACTTTTATAAAGTCGTTAGTAATATCTTGTATAAAACGACAGTTAATAATAACAATAATATATTGTCTATAAGATGTTTTTAACGAATTCCTATAAAAATTACAAATTTATTGCGCAAGTATTTCTCGATTTTGTTTTTCTTGTCTCTTTTTGTTTACTAATATGTAATAAATATGAATAATATATTGTTCGATAGAGAAGAAAATTGCCTATTAACAGACAAAAACAAAAATATTCTTTTCAGAATCTATTTATCGACATTCTTTTTAAGGATACTTCTCTTTTCTGTTATGTCATTTCATTTATGAATATTATATAAAAATAAGTTATATATACTATTTGAAAGAGAAGAAAAAGCTTTATAAAATAAAAATAAAAAAACTTGTTGATAGGTATTGGTGTTGGTGGTTTAATAAATACTCGAAAAATGGAACTTGTTAATATGGTATTAAAAGATATAGCTATGTTTCATAATCGTCATCGTCGTCAACCATTATTTAAATGTTGTAATGATCTTAATTCTATTAAATTACCAATTGAATCATTATTAACAGATATTAAAGAAAGACATTCAGCTACAGTTTCAACTCTACCTGATGATAATTCAACAGATAAGTATGTTGTTTTATTTTAGTATTTTAAATAAATCTAATAATTATTATAACAATAGAATATATAAAATTCGATGTAATCGTAATAAATCATATCCATTAACATCATTAACAACAAATGAATATGATCAACATAATATGACAAATATATCTATTAAAGTTATTGATGATAATGATTTAATAAATATAAATAATAATGAAAAAATTTCATTAAAAATAAATTCTCAAATGATATATCGTTCAAATCTTGATCAAGATGAACCTGAAACATATTATTGTTTAAATGTATCATTTTATCAACCAATTGCAGAAATAAAACATAATCATCAAATATCATTATTATCAATGCATCATATTATTGATTTTAATTATTTACAAATGCTTCGGTTAGAGAAGATTTTGTTTTTTTTTATTTTAAATAATTTAATATTATTCTATAGAAATGGTACAACATTAATTCTTTATGATGAAGATACAATGCATACATGTTTAGTTACTTTAAGACTTGAACTTGATAATTGTACATTAACTTGGTTAGATTTTTTTTTTTATTCGAAAATAAAAATTTAATTATTTTTGTTTAGGACAAAACCTTGTTGGGATAATGATAGAACAATTGAAAATGTTAATTTAAGTGGAGAAGTTTCAAGTGAATGTTTAGATTATTCAATGTTAATGAAACGTTATGTATTAGGAGATGTTGCTTTTGTTGATATTGATGAAGGTTTTATTCAATTAAAATATGTTAAACATATTCGTACTGGTATTATTCATTGTGATCTTCTTCCAATAATAAAACATTATAAATTAAATGATATAACTGATCCAGAAAATTGTTTTACTATTATTTATGGATCATCAATTAATGAAAATAAGTAAACATTTATTTATTTATTTAATTAAATAAAAATAATTTATTTTGTTTTTTTTTTTAATTAAATAGAAGTCTTTGTTTTATAAGTCCAAAATATAGTTGTCAAATTTGGTATTCAAGTATAGATAAATTAATAAAAGAATATCGTAAACATAGTTTATGTTGTGATAGACGTATTAATTGGCTTAAAAATCAATATCTTTCATATTATTATGAATATGAACGTTTTCAAGGACCAACACCAATTGATGCTGTACTTTTATTTGGTGGAAGACAATGGAATTCAAATTCACTTTTTTCTTATGAACGTGAACATATATCAACTAAAAAAACTTCGAATATTATTAAATCATGGTCTAATTTAGCTTTAAGAAAACGAAAAAAACTTGAACAGGTAATCATATATAGATATCGATTTTAATATTTTATTTATTTCAATATATCATATTTGATCAAAACTTTGAAGATTTGTGGGTGACATATAAGCTTGCATTTAGGATTAGATCAATTTCTATTAGTACTGACTTGATTAAAGCAGATTTCATAAAGAAAATAGTCATCATTATTTTGCTTGAACTTTTTTTTCGATGAAGTTTGATTGGTATGTGAATCAATTTTTGATTACTAGTGATTATGTCAAATACAAAACGAAATTGATTTTCTTCAAATTTTTCCAGTGAATAAGCGACTTTTTTTTTAGTCATCGGTTAACTGATGTGACATCCATCGAGCACAAAACTTTAGGGGTGAGAAGTTATTGTTATTTTTTGTTATTAATAAGAATAACAAATAACAAAAAAGTTATTGTTATTAATAACAATAACAAAAAAAAGTTATTTGTTATTAATAACAAAAAAATAACAAATAACTTTTTTTTCCGAAAAATCTTAGTTATGCTTTGTTACTATATAAAAGTATACCAGTTCTATTTGCTAATTATTGTCCAATTGCTCGGTGATGTTACTGACCGCAATCTCCATTAGATAGCCTATGAAACTGAGAAAAATCCTAAGAAGATCTTGTCAAGTATCTTGCTCACCTACAGGTAAAATTTATTAATCGGTTTACGAGGAACGATTCCTCAAGGTTCGATTGTCTTTGACTTGATGTTTTGGTCAAATAAAAGTCTTTGCGAAATGAGATTCTAGGTGCCATTTTTCAAATTATGATCTGTACAATCCTTCTAGACATTTTCACATCTCCCAAAGGCTTATATTTGACCAACACATCAAGTCAAAGACAATTGAGCATTGAGGAATCGTTCCTCGTAAAGCGATCAGTAAATTTTGCCTATAGATGAGCAGGATACTTGAAAAGATCTTTTTAGGATTTTTCTCAGTTTCATAGGCTATCTAATGGAGATTGCGGTCTAGTAACATCATCGAGCAATCGGACAATAATGAGCAAACAGAACTGGTATACTGTTACATAGTAGCAAAGTATAACTAAGATTTTTCGGAAAAAAAAGTTATTTGTTATTTTTTTGTTATTAATAACAAATAACTTTTTTTGTTATTGTTATTAATAACAATAACAATAAATTCACACCCCTACAAAACTTTGTGTAACTTTAAATAATTATGAATAATTGAATTGATTACTGTAGTATCAAAAGTTAAAGGTATCTTCTAGTTGTTGGTACATTAAATAAGGATCTTATTACTCGTACAGCATCATTTGTTTGTTCGTTGACAGATGTGATGAAGAGCATCTTCATTGCTAAAATTATTTCGCTAGAATTTATGAAATCAATTGAGAACTATGCGGTATGAATGTACTTGATCTTCCATATGTTTGCATTAGACAGGCATAACTGTCCTTGTATATTAAGCGTATTTTCCAATCATATAAAATCATAATGCAAAATAGTTCACACAAGTGTTGAAAATTCATATAAAAAATAGCATTAGACGTGAAGATCTGAAATTTTTTGCACATAGTTCTAAATATGTTTAAACATTATAATCAAATATTTGTCTTCAAATTACAACTTTTAAAAGAATTGGACGAAAAAAAACTTTTGTAGTGCTCTATGTATACACATATATATTCGATATTAGTCTATAAGTAGTATTGTGTCAATGAAAAATAAATAAATAGTCAAAACTTGAGTATTTATTTTTGGGAAAATTTTATATAAAAGATTGTTTAAGAAAATATTGATAATGATTAATAATAAAATAGGATGGTAAAGGAAGTTGTTCAATTGAAAGTGATTTATCATCTCGATTAAAATCTCAAGAAAATCGTTCAAATTTATCGTCACATAATAAAATAAATAATATTGGATATAAAACAAAATCATCTCTTGTTTTTCAAACTGTTAAACCACGACGTTCATTGATATTAAATAATAATTCAATTAAACAACGATCACCTTTAACAGCTAATCGTCGAACAAGATCAAGTAATTCATTAAATAATTCAATTGATACAAATAATATTAATAATCGTTTTTTATCAACAAATATTAATAATAATAATAATAATAATAATGGAAAAGTAAATAAAGAATTATCATCACCATGGATTATAAATGAGAATTCATTAGATTTTATTGAATTTGTTCAATTATTTAAATCATTCTATTTTCATTGTCGACGAGATTTAAAAGATTTATTTGATAAATTTGCATCAGAAATACATATTGAACAAGATTATACTATTAAAGAACAATATAAATATGATTTATTAGATATGCAAAGACAATTAACTGGTTTAATAACAAGAAATATAATTCAAAATATAAATGATGATAATAAAAATCGTATATATGATATGATTGCTATATCATCAATACCATGTTATGCTATTAGTACACATACACGTCACAATTATCTTATTACTATTGATCTATTTAAACTTTTTTTAATTGAACATCAAAAAGAAGATAAACATTTTAATGATATTCAACTTATTATTTATGTAAGTTATTTCAATTATTTTTTAACAAATATATTTATCTTATACGAATATATGAGATACAAATATTTCGAGAATGAGAGATGTCATTGAACTAACTAATCAAATAAAACTTCTTTTATACAAAAAAAAACCATGTTAGATTTCGATTGTTTCTATCAAAAATCAATTTTATTATTAATACTTTAGCAAAATACACTTCCAACAAGAGGAACAACTGATTTCTAGTGCTCGAAATCATCAAAAACTAGCGTTATGCGTTAAACATATGAGAGATCTAACGAGGGAACGTCCCCAAGTGTTAATCGCCGATCGAGTTCATATTTTGCCCATAGGTAAGACTAGCAGAAGCCCGGAAGGATTTGTCCCCATACGTTGTCTTTACGGAGTTACGACCGTTTTACTGGTTTTTCGATCTCTGACAATGATATTTATAGCGAATCCCAACATTGGAATTTTGTCCATAAACAGGTCTCATGGTCACTAAAATGTCCTAAAAGTTTCAGCTAAAATAAACGTTTCTTTCTCGAGATATTGAATTTTCAAGGAACGATCATATTTCAAAGGCAAAGATCAAAAACTCGAGCTTTTTCGAAACTCAATATCTCGAGAAAGAAACGTTCATTTTAGCTGAAACTTTTAGGACATTCCAATGACCATGAGATCTGCTTATGGACAAAGTTTCAGGTCGAAATTCTATTTTTGGGCTGTCCTATAAATACCATTGCCAGAGGTTGAAAAACCAGTAAAACGGTCGTAACTTCGAAAGGACAGCGTATGGAAACGAATTCTTCCGGGCTTCTGTTAGTCTCATTGAGTCTTACTCATGGGCAAAATATGAGCTCGATCGGCGATTAGCACTTGGAGAAGTTCCCTCGCAAGAAGATATAGTTTAAAATGCTCAGGAACTATCAAAGACTACCAAAAATCACTGAAAGTAACTAAAAGCAATTTTTGTTTACATCTTATGGTAGACTAGTTTTCTTAAATACTTATAGTTGATCTTTGATGAGAAAGAAGAGTCTTTTTCTATTCTTATTATTATTCCTTCTGCTAATTTTTCATATACTTGCATATCACCATTTTCATTGGATTCCATCTCGAGATTATAGAAGAAGAATAGTCCACATTTTGGCTGCTTTGCGGTATAGAGTGCTGTCCGAGAGTAATTTCAAAAGTTCGATATTTTTCCTACATTTATCACTAAATGTAGCTCTAGACAGAAAATTGGCCTGATTCAAAGGTCTCCCGCTTAATCATTTAAGTTTTCCGTAGATCCTGACTAACCATATCCTATCATATGAGTGATCGGGGAGAAAGCAGCCGTTAGTGACTTGTCCAAAGTAAATTCGAACACAGTACTTTGTGTGTATATATCAAATATTTTAACTCTTGAGAGATACCAATCCCGAGATAACAGTCATTATCCATTCATCATCAAATTAATTTGTGAAATGGTATCTATTCGAGAATGGAAACAGTAGTCAATACTTCCTGAAGAATTCGAGACAGATTATAATAACGTGGGCAAACAACACAATATAGAGAAAGAGACGTATCAAAATAGACTAGTATAAACCGCTTTCGATCGGTACCGGTTCCATCTCTGTTATCTATGGTCAATATGTCCTATATGATATTTGATTAGTTGATTTATCATTAAATATCTCGAAATCGATCGAAAATTTATTAAAACGATTATTAACTTGTTAATCAAAGTCTATCAAGATAAAAACTTCTGAAATCTTTGCTTGTCTTATCAATATGTTATTGTAAGTCTTATAGAAGTTGAAATGAAAGATATATAACACTTGATAATATCAATGGTAATTGTTTGTAACAAGATGAATATATTTTAAAATATTTATTTTCTTAAATAATAAATCGAATATTTTCGTTTTTTTTTTTTAGCGTCATGAACCTAATCGAGAAAATCGTTTGAATAAAGTTCTTTCATTCGAAGGTTTTTCACGTTATCTTTTGGATAAAGATAATTATGCATTTGTTAATGAACATACCAAAGTCAATGAACAAGTAAGACAAAAACTAAAATAAAAATAAATATTGTGTGTGTTTTTATCTTTTAAATAGGAAATGAATTATCCATTATCATATTATTTTATTGCATCATCTCATAATACATATCTAACAGGACATCAATTACGTGGTGAATCTTCAGTTGAAATGTATCGTGAAGTAAGTTAAATGAATTGCAAAAAAAAAAAAGAAATAAATTTATTTTTTTTAAACAAAAAAAAAAACAGGTTCTTTTATCGGGTTGTCGTTGTATTGAACTTGATTGTTGGGATGGTGATGATGGTTATCCAGTTATTTATCATGGACGAACATTTGTTAGTAAAATATCATTTAAATTAGTTGTTGAAGTAATTAATGAAAGTGCATTTGTTACATCACCATATCCAGTTATATTATCAATTGAAAATCGTTGTTCATTAATACAACAATCACGTATGGCACAAATATTTGTTAAAATATTTGGTGATAAATTAATAACAAAATATATGTTTGATAAAGATTTTCATGAAGATCCATTATTACCATCACCAAATCAATTAAAATATAAAATATTAATTAAAAATAAAAAAATAAATAATATACATTCAACAACACAAATAGGAAAACAAAAAATTCAATTAACTGTTAATTATAGAAATTCAGTTTATTCATCACCTGATGATAATGATGATGATGAAGATTCCGATGATGAAGATATTATTGATGATTATAATTATGAACAATATACTAAACAAGAATCACAACGATCAAATTCAATGACTGATTCACCTATTTATCATTTTAAAAAAGATAATATTAATCAAACTGTTTATAGAGATCCTGATGAAGATTTGTAAATTAAACAAGCAAATTTTTTGTTTTTTGATTAATTATGTTTTTTTTTTAAGAAGATCATATCGACAACGTCGTTATAGTATTATGAATAATCAACCACGACAACGTTTGAAAAGTACTAGTTCAATCGATACCAATCATATTAGTAAAGTTAATAAATCAGCTGGTATCATGCCAAAAATACCAACTATCTTAGTTGCTAAAGATCTATCAGATATTGTTATTTATACACAAGCTATCAAATTTAGAGGTTAGAATGTTGTTTATCTATCTTTTTCTTTCATTTAAATAATCAATTATCTATTAACAAAATAAGATAATTCATATTCATTAGAGAAATATCTTTTTTATCTGTAATAAATAACAAAAGACAAGAAAAAAAAGAACTTAATTAAATTTTACAATAACAATAAACATTTAACCCTTTGATGATCAGCATATCTTATAAAGTACAAATTTCTTAACTTTTCAAATATTTAAATAACTCTCTAACGCATAAAAGTATCGAAATGCAATATATTCTATGATGTGAGTAAGACTTCCACGTATACATCTATATAAGAAATATAATCTAAATGTGGTTATCCAAGTGATAAGGCTGATGATCGAGTTTTTGACACACGTCATTTAAAAAAGAGTTTGAATAATAACCTTTTGACGGTTCCCTTCATATTTCACTTTTCCATGTTGAGAACAAGTTCGGAATGACTTCAAAGATTTCTTTATAAAGTTTTGATAAAAATATGAACAATATAAAATTTCAAAAAAAAATTCGGACTCTCAATTGAAGAAAGATAATTAGGATTATTAACTTTTTTATTGTCGAAAATTTTTCACTAGTGACAGATTAATGTACAACAATTATTACAATGCTGATAATTAATGTCAAATGTTATTGAAGAAATATTTTATTTTATTTTAAAATTTATTAGTAGCGTAAATAGCAGAGATGTCCATCGCGGCGCTGCCGCGCCGCTGCCGCTGCCGCGATGGCCTGTGGCGGCAGCGGCAGGTTTTTTAAAAAATCACCGCGGCAGCGGCGCGGTAGCGGTAGATTTTTTAAAAATCATCGCGGCAGCGGCGCGGTAGCGGCAGGTTTGTTAAAAGACCATCGCGGCACCGGCAGGATTTTTTGGGGGGACATTGAAAAACTGCATGAATTTAATAGAATTTCAGGGTTTACAAATGAAACACCCCGAGACTGAATGAATCTGATGGACTAGTACCAATATCTCTGGTCAAATATAGTCGCAGCAGTGAAATTAGAAACACTTTTTTGTAAACTGCCGCGGCAGCGGCGCGGCGGCGGCACGTTTATTTAATAATTCATCGCGGCAGCGGCGCGGCAACGTTTTTTTTATAAACCATCGCGGCGCGGCAGCGCCGCGGCAACATTTTTTTACAAACCGTCACGGCGCGGCTGCGGTGCGGCAGCTTTTTTTTTCTAAGGCCGCGGCGCGGCAGCGGCAGATTTTCAGCCGCGATGGACATCTCTGGTAAATAGTTGCAGACTATAATTTATTTTGATTGTATCTTTATCTGTTTATCATGCATAATGATAAATAAATGAGAGAATTCATTATTTTAAAATTGACTTTTTCAAGTTCATTTTTTATTCTTTTCTACTGAGAGTATCGGAAAAAATTTGATGAGAAATATGATGATACACTATATCGATTAATTAATCAAAATTTGAATATCTAAAAAAAAAGAAAAAACTAATTAAGACGAATTTCAAGTGATTATCTTATTATGATAATAACTGTATTATCATCATTCTGACAATTATTCTCTATACCATTCATCTGAATTTGTCATTTATTTTTTTTATATGATATTTGATTAATCAAATAAAACAAATTTCATTTTAAAATGTTGAATACTGATTATAGGATTAAGCTGTTCGTCAATTTCAGCAAGTTCTATTGCTATTAAATCTATTCGAAAAACTCCTAAACGTACTATTCAACAGCTTGTTGCTCAACCAAGTACAACGAGTAAAATTCATATATAATATAACTAAATAAATCTGATTGTGTTTAATTAATAACAGGTACTGAAAGTTCTCGATCAGTTGATCAAGTTTCACCTTGTCATCAAATTGTATCATTAATTGAAAATAAAGCAAAAAAATTATGTAAAAGTCAAGGCATTGATATGATTGCGTAAGTTATTCAATTTCTATTCACTTATATATATATATATATTCACTTATCTTATTTCTAGACATACTGAAACTCAACTTGTTCGATGTTATCCAAGTGGATTTCGTGTTGATTCATCAAATTTTAATCCATTACATTTATGGATATATGGAATTCAGTATGTTTCACATTTATTTTTTCTTCTATATTCAATTTAATATCAATTATTTTAGATTGGCTGCAACAAATTATCAAACACTTGGTAAATAAATCAATTTTGTTTTTTTTTTCATAGAAAAAGAAAATGAAGTTTTTTATTTTTAGATGCTGGACAAATTCTTAATTTATCAATGTTCGAACAAAATGGTAATTGTGGTTATGTTCTTAAGCCTAATGTTTTTTGGGATAAAGAACATTCACAATATGGTCGTTTTAATCCATCGGTTATTGAACGTGAGGGTTCTTGTTTCGAATTAACAATAACTGTAAGTTAAATCATACAAAAAAAAATCAATTTTTTTATTTATTGATGCATTATAATGATTATTTAGATTATTTCTGGTCAATATTTGACACAAAATGTTAGCTCAACAACAAATGTATATATTGAAGTTGAACTTCTTGGTATTCCAATTGATTGTATGTCAAGAAAAACAAAACCATCAATTAAAAATTCACTCAATCCAATATGGCAAGAAACATTTATCTTTCAGGTATTCTATAAATAGTTGTTTGATTTATTATTCAATCTTGATTATTGCATACATTTATATTAATAAAGAAAATTTTCTCCTTTTCCAATTAGTAAATAATGGTTAAAACTATTGTCCAGTAATGCTTCTTTGATGTATGGAAATCAATGTCAAATCTAACTTGCGTGTAAAAAGTCTTTGCACGAAATATCTATTTGATTTTCGTCCACTAATAGATTTCAGGAGAAGTTCGAAAATAGTTAGCTAGAATGGCAATGTCATGCTCTTTTTAAATATCTATTCAACGTTTATTTTTTTGATTTGAAATTAATTGAGTAGAAGTATAAATATTTGATGGGAACTAAACATGACATCTGTACAAAACATTAATTTCAAAGATCTTGCTCGCTATGTTTACTCATCTTGCAGACATTTAATTATGATTGAAGAGGATTAAAACCAACTAGTTGAACTCAATATTCGATACTCTGTCTACGTATATCTTCAGAAAAATCACTGTGACTTACGACTAGTTAACTGTAACTAAATATCTGAATAAATCAAATATGTCATTTGTGCCACGAAAAATAAGTTTTTCTTCTATCATGCTCAATTTATGTAAACGATATTTTGTGATAGTTTTTAATTTCTATTGTTGTAGAGAATTGAATTCAAAGTCACGTTATGCAAAATCAGTTATTTCATTATTTTCTAATAATAATACAATGTAGAATAATGATTATAGTTGTCAAAACTATCCTGTATACTGTCGTTTAATAAAGTTTGCAATCATGTATCATCGTTTACAATACAGTACGGTACAGCTCCTAAATGGCAATAAACTCATATAAAACGACTATTTATTACTGTACTTATTTAATTTAGAAAAATCAAGATACCTACATACTTGTTTTTCTCTTTTGCTCAGTTATTCACTTAGCTAGAATAGTCAATTCATTATTAGTGAAACAATTGAATGATGAGATAATTGAAAATAAAATGCTAACTACTAGAATATATAAGAATATCGATAACGGTATTGGTGCTTCATTGAATAGATTTGATTTAGTTTTGCTGAAATAGAAATGAATGATCTATAAATAATTTTGAAATAAAATATATAACTATATGTTATTTTTTTCAATGTATATAAATAGCTGTTCTTCATGGAATTATCATTTGTACGTTTTCATGTATACGATGCTGGAAGCAATCATTTAATATGTCAACGTGTAATGCCTGCTAAATGTCTTCGACCAGGTTATCGACATGTACGTTTAAGAGATCCAACAAATGTACCATTAGAATTAACAACATTATTTATTTATTCTAAAATAACTGAAACAATATTAATTCGTAGTCCAGAATCAGATTTATCAACGTCAAATACTCCACATATATTTCGTAATAGAATATTAAGACGAACAGTTGATCCATCTGAAGCTGTTGCCGTATGTTTTTATTGTCCTTCTCATATATATATATATTTTTATAATATAAATAGACAAGTCGTGAATCTATTCGACCTAAACATAAAACATTTGAAGTGAAAGTTTATGGTAAAGATGGACGTGATGAAGAATTTCGACCATTTGCTGTAACACAATATACAACTGTTGAAGAACTTATAGAAATGGTATTAATCATTAATATATGTTATTTTTTTTTTAATAATCATTCATTGATTTAAGATTGCTAAAACAAATGATTTTCTTCAAATTGGTGAAACAATCAATGATATTATATTAACTGAATCATCTAAAACATGGAAAAAGAAAAATTCATCAACAAAATATATTGATATTTCACCAAGAATACTTGAAAAATATGAAAGAATTCTTGAAGTAATCGATCGTGTTGGACGAGAAACAGTTATTTTATGTAAAAGAAAAGCTCAAACACCAGTAAGTTTTAATTAAATTTTTAAAATTAAAATAAAAAAGAAAAATGTTATGTTTCTTTTATCAGTATTTGACACATTCACCATATACTACTACTAATAATAAAAATATTGAAAATTTACAAAATAGTGATCGAACATTTCTTGTTACTATATATAATATATCATCTGTACAAAAACATACTACTTTTCGAACATCAATTAATTCAACTGCTAGTCATGTTATTACACAAGTATATTTATTTAAACGAAACAAAAAAAAAAAAAAAGCTGAATTTATTCAATAAATATTTTATTTTATTTAGTTAATGAGAAAAATTCGTATGAATGGTATATCAACTGATTATGGTCTTGTTGAAGAAACAAATCTTAAGGAAAGAAATCGAAGATTTGAAATAAAACGTCGTTTAATATCTGATGATGAAAAAATCTATGGCATACAACGTTTATGGACATCAACTAATTCAAAATTTATTTTAGTTAAAAAATCTGAATATACACAAATGAATAATAATAATAATGATAAATCTTTATTTCGATCATTAACTAGACAAAAATCTATTGATCGAGATTCACATGAAGGTTATATATTTAATATATTCATTTAATTTAATTTGATTTGAAATTATTTTTTTTTCTTTTTCAATATTAGATCTTCATCAATCGAAATCACGAATAAATAATAATTTAACATTTAATTCAAATATAATAAATAATCGATCTTCTAATCAATCAATTGAATCATTATCAATAACTAATCAAGCTAAACATTCATTTAAAACATTATTTTTAACAAATAGATCATAATTATAAACAAATAATCAATTTATACACATATTAATGATGCCCTTCTGTCAAATATGTTTATTTTACTCATGTTTTTTTTTTATTTGTTTTATTCATTATTTTGTTGTTTATTGATATAACTACTTTCTCATTCTCTCTCTTTCGTTAATGGAACAGTCTTGTTATATCAATCTTCTATTTTTTCTTTTTGTTCATTGTATGATTGATATTGCTCGAATTGCAATATACAAGTAAACGGAAACAAAATAAAACATATTCATTTATAATAATCAACTTAGTATTATATTCAAGTAACTGTTTATCATTTTCACTTAAGAACGGTCTCTCCCCTCGAAAATCGCTTTTCGATACCGCCGTGTATGAGATTTTCACGAAACTTTCTACAGATGGTCGACTGATGAAAGTACATATATAAATAAAATTTCAAGCTGAACTGCTCGAATGAGTTTCATTTGAAATAGAACTCTTTACTGCTTCGTATGAGGGAAAGGGCTTTTTGAATTTTTATTTTGTTTCATTTTTCAGATTATCAAAAATTTCAAATTTTAAATATCCTAAGCAAGGTTTTCCAGCAGACTCATGATTACTCTTCTATTGAGAATCCAATGTAAAATCCCTTTCTCTCATCCGAAGCAGTACGCATGTATCTATTGATTAAAAAAAAAAGGCAGCTTTCTAGGATGAAGTATATTTTAAAAAATTTTATTTGGAGATCCACTACTACCATAATAATCAATTATTAGAAAATCGATAAACTAGTTTAAAAACGATGTTACATCACATATAGAGGAGACACGGGCCCTAGAGGTTTTCTTAAAATCTAATATTGCTATCATATCAAGCCTGAAGAGAAACCTTCACACTCACAAATTTAGAAATTTCAGTCGTTGGATAAGTAGGAGAAAAGAAGACTTTTAATAATTGAAGTATGTGTCACAATAGGCCGATACTCTTTTATAACTCATCATAGGGAACACATTTCGTTATGAAAATTTGAATGCAAAGGTAACTTGATATGCTGAACTCGATGGTATAATCAGTTTTCTTGGGAATTCTGCGAACATCCAGAAGGGTCTCCAGAAAAACCTCGAAAACACACAGGAGAGTTACAAAAAAGATCACTGAGAACAATCAAAACCTGCTCATTTTCTGAAACTCAAGACATAAACTGAAAGAGGAAAGTTCAGCGTATCTTTCTACAACGCAAATTCAATTTTGATATTTTTTCGAAAAATATGGTTTTTGGAGGGAAATCTTAAGAATGTAATTCAAATTTGATTTTCAATAATAATCTTCAAGTAATTCTTCATCATAATAGCGATTTGTCTACTTTTATTAAATCATATATGTTTAACTTTAAATTATTATTTCATTCAACTTTCATCATCTAATATTCAAGAAGAGACATCTTTTTTTTTTACTGAGCTTGAAATATACAGGGTGTCCCATAAGTAACAAGACAAGGAAAAAAAGTTTGAATATCTCCATTAGGGCTCGACCAAATGGGCTCAATTTTTTATCAAGGATAGAGGCATCTGCACACTCCAAATTCATACGAACAAGGTGAATGAGAACCTTTGTTAAGTATCACTATTGACCTCAACAATAAAATTTTTACTTTTTCACAGACAGGAAAATAAAAAAATATACTTAACAAAGGTCCTCACTAAGCTTGTCTGTATGGATTTGAAGTATAAGCATGCCTCTATTTTTGGTAAAAAAATCAGCTCGGTTGCTCGAGCCGTAATGGAAATATTTAATTTTCTTTTCGATAAAGTGACTTTTGCACTATCCTGTATATTGGTTTTTTCTTACCAGTGACAAAGCAAAAATTTTATTGTTGAGGTCACTAGCGATACTTAACAAAGGTTCTCATTCACCTTGTTCGTATGGATTTGGAGTGTGCAGATGCCTCTATCCTTGATAAAAAATTGAGCCCATTTGGTCGAGCCCTAATGGAGATATTCAAACTTTTTTTCCTTGTCTTGTTACTTATGGGACACCCTGTATATAGATATATGGTATCTCTCTTAATTCAAGTAGCTTCGAAAGTTATTCACAGATTTGAAACTCAAGTTATTTGAGTTTGAACATAATTAATATGTTTGTCATTTTAAAAATTGTTGTTTAACACATTGAGAAACAAAATCTAGACAATAAAAAGTTGCAAGTTGAAATTTGAGTTGACTTTTATTTTTAAGTTTAACAAAACTAGATTTTTCTCAAACAGTACACTATATATTTAATGATTAGCTTTCGAGTTCTTAATCATTTTCTATCTTATATACTTTTGTTGTTATTAGGGATGTATCGTTCACGCTCATGGGCGCGAACGTTTCCGAGTTGCCGAAAACGTGATTGTCCCTGAACATTTTTTCCAACTTTATTTCTCGAAAATCGACATTGACTATTTTGCTGCCGGGATTCCCCACTGGTATCGTCGAACAAAAATTTCTCTTTTCACCGATCAAAACTAGATGTGTCTATACGATCAAGTGTGCTAATTACGAATATCATAATAAGAACTCTTAAAACTTCTTTATTCTCCATATAGTCCGGACCACTATCTAGACCCCATTTTTCATTATTGGGTTTCTTGAAAAAATATTGTTTTTGAAGTGTTAGTGGAAAATACGTTTTCTAACTCAGAATTTCGAATTGTCTGAGGTGTGGGTGAATGTAGGATATGTTATGTAGTCTCTTCCCATGCAGTCATAAGTACATCCACACCCACACCCTCATGTTTCTTAATTCACTTTGAATTAGTCAGTCTATTTGACCTCTTAGGGCCATTTCTTCAATTTTCGTTCCAATGAACACAATGAAGTGGCTCTGTATACATACAAAATTAACGGCAAGAAAAAACGGCAGTCAATGACGAATAATTGAATTGGACGGTGCATCTTTTTTTTTTACTTTTGTGAAAGAGTTCACCTATTCTATTTTTGAATGACCGACGTGATTAGAAGCAAACCATAAACATACATGTATATAGATTTGTCTTTGACAAAAGCGTCGTAGATACAATAACAGATGAGTCGATCGAATATTCATCTTCTGGATCTGCCTAATGAAGTATTATTTATCATTTTGAGAAAATTGACTAATATTGATGTTCTTTATTCATTATTGGATATTAATAATGGACGACTTAACATTCTTGCACAAGACAAGATCTTCACTAATATTCTCAATTTCGTAGATATTGATAATATTTCTTTAATTGATCGATTCTGCATCGATATATTACCAAGAATTCATCATAATGTCAAATATATCATTCTTGAACCAATTTTGATGGAACATATTCTTCTTGCCACCGTCTATCCAAATCTAACTGAACTTAAAATCTTCAATTTTGAACAACAAATCGCTTTAAAATATTTTACAGGTAAACACTTAACATGCACTTAATCATTTAAAAAAAATAAGTGTTAGATAGAATAGATTATTGTAAGTTTCATTATTTTTTTTCTTTAGATGAATCATCACTTCGATCTATTTTTCGACAACAAATTACAAACCTGATTCTTGTGAATAATGATACAAACGAAAGCATAAGTTCATTGAAGGATTATACAAAAAATGTATATGCGAACATCTTGAATTTCTTCAAAAATTTAAAACATCTGACTATTATTGGACCATATGTTCCAGGTTTATCACTTTGCAATTTACCGTCGACTACTTTTTACTCTTCAAATCTTACTCATTTATGTATCAATATGGCAACTTTTGATGATTGTCTTTATTTACTTGATGGTAGACTCAAGCGATTGACCACATTTAATGTTACTGTTTATTCTATAAACAACTCTTCAACGATTGTTCATAACATGGTAAATTTTCACAGATGATGCCACTTATGAGATACAGATAATTATTAGTTCAGCGCATTTTTTTGCTTTATTTTAAAGGATCTAATGCTTAAATATTATATTAACAACGAAAAGTATCGAATAAGTACTAGAGTGATTGACATTGAATTTGCACTTACTAAGAATTTGGATTGGAGTTGTCAGATAAGTGATGCAGTAAAAACGAGATGTTCTTTTATCATTGATTAAATATACGTGAATTCTATTGTATAGTACCAATCTTTCTGATAATTGATATATGATAGAAATTTTCTCTAAAATTTTTCAATAATTCATGATTCCTATATTTTAAAGTTTCAAAATCGAACTGATCAATTTGTGATTTGTGATTTTTAATACACAGAATTCAGTGTCAATTGAGAGTTTCATTACTAGGAATGTGAAATCAGAGCTAATATTCCGTTGGCATGAATCCAGAAATCCAAAGTGACTTATTACAAAATAGAAAGAAAGATACATCCAGGTATCAGAATTTTCGACGATGCGGAAAACCAATTTTTCACATACGTTCATGCTACTTCAGGAACAGAATCGAGACACTTCTAGACAGAATGTATATTTCGAATAAAACAAAGTAGAGTAGAAAATATTATTACCGTGACAAGTAATGATGCTTATGATTTAGCCTTTTAGATTAATGAAGAAATTTTTCTTTTTCTTTTTTCTAGGACAAGTTACCTAATCTGAAATGTTTCTCATTAGAAACTTTATTTCGATTTCAACAATATGATCAAATATTATCTCTTCTTCGTCGTATGTCTTATCTAGAAAGTTTAGCTTTATATGTTTGTGTAAAAGGTCGAAATAGAATCATCGATGGCTCTTGTGTTCAAAATGATATTCTTGTTCATATGCCACAACTTCATTCATTCACTTTCTATATTAATACTTCTATTGACACTCGTGATTTATCTTATAATTTATCTCGTGAAAACGTCCAACAAACATTGGTAAATATCGGACAACAAAATGCGACTAGTATCATCAATTATCATACTACATACGCAGTTGCATGTTCAATTTTCTCACTGCCTTTTGTATTTGATTATCTTGAGAATGTTGGCAATATATTTCCAAATATTGTATTCAGTTATGTTAAATGTTTACTTGTTCAAGATAATGATGCATTCAGACATGAATTCTTCGTTCGAATCGCCCAATCGTTTCCATTACTGGAATATTTACGTATTTTCAATATCGAATCACAATTATTAGTTGATCCTCTTACATTATCATCTGATCATAGTCAATCATATTTAATGGTTGAATATCTGCATCTTACTTCACTTGATGTGGGCTATAGCCATAAAGATTATCTTGAACAATTTCTAAATGAGACAAAGGCATATGTACCTTATCTAACCCAATTGACAGTGTGTCATCGTCACTTAAAAATTGTGACAAAAAACTTTACAAGAGAAACAACACGACGCAATTGTGCTAAGGTAAAGCGATTAAATATTATTTCACCATTGGATAATTCCGAAGATCACTCTCATTATTTTCCTTCGTTATAAATGTATTCTTGTTTTGATTAATTCAATAAACTGAAAAACATGATAATGGTTGCGATTAGGCTAATGACATTTCTAAAATACAAAGAAATATTAATTTTTGATGATCGTTTCTTATTTTGTTTATGAAAAATCATCGGATTGTTTGTTAATTATATTGCACTAATAGATAATTTCATTATTATAATAGTATTATAGAAGGCAGAGATGTCCATGGCGGTGCTGCTACTGCCATCGTGACGATGGCAGCGTGGCAGTAGCATTCCTTTTTAAAAATCATCGCGGCGCAGGATATGTCCAAAAAATACCATCGTGGTTGCGACTGTTTCTTTGTTGAAGGAATTGCAAAACTTCATGAATTTGTACAGGATTCATGTATCCATAAGTATAATACTCAGAGACTATATGGATTTCATAGATTCATATCAGTAGTTGTAGTTCAGTACAGTAATAGGAGGGATTTTTGAAAACCATCGGGGTAGAAGCGCTGCCGCGGCAGATTCTCAACGGCGATGGATGTTTCTGATAGAGAAGCTGCTCTATATTCAGTTGTCAGAATAAAATCATTACATTTTTAATTCTTATACTTACACATCTGAAAATATCGGTGAAATTCTCAAAGATTTTAAGTATGTGTTGACGAGAAAAAGACATACTTCTGAAATACAGAAGCACTAAGTAGAGTAAATTCATGAACAACTGATAGTTCGATGCTCATCCTTTCTCTTATGATTTTTTCCTTTTTGCTAAGTTTTTTTTGTTTTCAAAACTAACCAGTTACAATATGTAACTGGATAGAAATTCATGAAGTGTGCCATACAGTTGTCTTTCTTCTTACTCCTCGTCTGTTTAGGTAATATTCTATCCAATAAATGGATAACAGTTGACTACTACAATCGTAGTTCTGATTGATTTTACTGTTTTGTTTTAAGTTTTTGCTACCATTTCAATGAATTCTACAACAGGATACTTGTTGTGCATCCTTGACAAACTTACTGTATTTTGTTAAGACAATACGAGCAGCTTTACATAATGAGACACTATTGTTGATATTATGAAAGTTCAGCTTCTAAACAAGTAATTAATATGACATGAAACTTATGACTCAGAAATAACGGTTGCAAAAAATCGATTGAGTCTAGCTCATTATCTGCATTTTTTGTGTAGGAATCTAAATAAATTTTAACATCTTAATCTAAAAACGTCGCCATTTACTAGTGAGAACATACCTTAAAAATTTTTGTGCTATCAAGAGCTATTTACATGTATGTTGGGGTGGGTGTGGGTGTGCGTGTGGATGTATGTCGGTGTGGGTGCGTGGGTGTGGGGGTGGGTGGGTGTGCGTGTGTGGGTCTGGGTGTGGCTGTGGGTGTGCGTGTGGGTGGGTGTGGCTGTGGGTATGAGTGCGGGTGTGGCTGTGGCTGTGGGTACGAGTGTGGGTGCGGGTGTGGTTGTGGAATGGAGTATGGTTATCTGAAGGTGTAAGCGAAGAAGACCCACACCCACACCCTCAACCACCCACACCACACCCACCCATACCCACACCGACACCACCCACAACCATCGTGGCGCGGCGTGGAAACGGCAGATTTTCAGACGCCATGAACATCTCTCGTCCCTATAAAAAAATGCACATGCTATTTTTGTAAGCAAATTTTGCTATTTCTCATTTCTGTTTACATTAGTATCTCATCCAAGAGGAAGTATTAATTCGATATCCTATATTTTACCCATTTTTATGAAAAAATGATTTCGTAAAATCTTTTTATTCAGCGGCATATTTTTTTAAAATTATGTCTCAGCACGGCAGCGTCGCGGTTCAATATTTACATGTGGCGTCGTGGCAGCAACTTTTCAAAATCCTTCGCGGTGTGGCAGCGGCAAATTTTCAGCCGCGATGGACATCTCTGGTTTACAAGAATAAGAGACTATTTCTAATAGTGAACTAATTTTTAATTGATAGTTTATTAGAAAATTCTTTTAAGTTATAAAATAGAATATGATAAAGGAGAAAAGATAAAATTTACTAGTCACTGTTTCTTTATAATAAATGAAGTACTATTTTATGTGCGCTACAATTCGACAAAAAAAATTATTTAAACAAGTCGGTACTTACATATTTCCTTTCTTATATCTTATTATTTGTGATAGATTGTATTCATATCACATCGAAATCCAAAAACTGAAAACATTTTTATATTTCCTTTTTTTATTTTATTCAAACAATAATATACATAAAGTCTATATCTTTCGTTCGCGACAGGAAGCGCCCTCTTTCATATATACAGGTTATGTGTCACTTTAATGCAATGACGATTTTTGTATGTACATCGAAGTGTGTGTAGATTATCTTAACCGTGTCTCCTTTCTATGTTTTCCTCCTTTTTTTCTGATATATATACACTATATTTGTTACTTTTTTATTAGAAAAGAAAAATAAACAAAAAAAAAGATTAAGTTCTACTTGATTGAGCTCACGAATATCATTAATTCTATAAATTAAGAAAGTAGATCTTAACAATAATTAAAAAAATGATTTTTTTTTATAAGAATTTTATCCAAACATATCTACGTGCTATCCCAACAATACCTTAGAAAACGAATTCAAGATAATATAATTATGCATAGAATGATAGAGAGTTTCATGCACTATCGAATGGCATAATTCTTTTATATAATTTACTTTTTTTGGGAATAATACTTTAAAAAAACAAAGAAAAACCAGCCAACAAATCCAGATTTTTGGCACTTGTCGTTGACGGATCTTTTTATTTTTCTCAAATTATTTTTCAATTAATCAATGCAAGACAATAGTTGTATATATAAGATGATAGAGAATTTCACGCTCTATTAGAATGTATAATTACTTTTCAAAAAAGATTATTCTATAGTGATGAAAATTTTAAAAACAACTTTTGATGACTGTGACGAAATCAAGTCTGTTGGAATGTGAATATGAGGGTGCCTTTATTGAACTCAATTTATTTTACTAATGAATAGGATCAAACTAAAACCTAATTATATAGGATGATAGAAAACGTCATGGACTTCCAGAATATGTAATTATTTTTAACAAAATGTGTTTTTATCATGCGAAATAGATTCAATGGATTAATCCAGATTCAATATAAAGAATCTAATTTTTTTTTTCGGGGATACATCTTGTTGAGAAGGATAGCTCTTACAGATGGGTTAGTATTCTTTTTCTTACAGTTTAAATTACATTTGATTCACATATGACAATGAGTAGAGTTTGTCAAATTTCCAGCCTAATACAATTGCACCTCTAACTGAGTTGCATTTATGTTTCAAAAAGAATTCTACTTTTTCACATTAGAATCGGGATTAAAAGAGTATACTGTTCACTCTCACGTGTTTTCCAATATTTGATACAAACGTAAATTTTTATTTTTAACGAATCATGGAATTTTGTAAATATGAACATTCTATATTGAAATACACCAACATGATGTAATATTTAATATCATGATCAAAAACTTTTGACATGATTTATGTTTATATTGTAATAAGAAAAATAAAAAGATAACAAATACATTTTTATAATATAACATTTAAATTATATCTAATATATCTTTCTGTTTTTAATAATATGTAAATCATATAATGTATTTTATTTATTTATTTATTAAATTTTCGATCATTGAGTGATCATCATCAGAATACGATGTTTAATGGTTTTACTGTCAATTTGAAACATTTAAGTTCTTAATCGTATGTCTTTATTTCTAATATGATGTTAATTCATCACGTTCACAATTATTGTATAGATTGTATAAGTGATGAGAATTTCTCAACATAATTGTTTGATTTATAATATATGTGTATGTGTTAATATATATGTCGCAGGAGAAATTAAAATTCAGGAAAATTTAAAATTTTCCTAGGAAAAATTAAAATTTTAATTTCTCCTAGGAGAAACTAAAATTTCAATCTCAACTGGATATTTTCTAGGAAAACTTAAAATTTTAGTTTCTCCTAGGAGAAATTAAAATTCTAATTTTTCCTATAGGAGAATTTTAAATATTCCTGAATATATAATATCAAATTTATTACTTTTATATTTCAAAAATACAAAGATTAAAGGAGACATTTCAACGTGGTTTCGTTTTTTGATAAATCACATTTAGTACCACATTGTATTTTTGCTGCTCGAGAACGGCATTTCTTTGTTGAAAAGTGCCATTACAATTACATGCTTCAGTGAGAGTAATTAATTCTGCACTCACATAAGCTTTACAGGCTTGAATGAACGTCATTGCTAGTAAAGCTGTTGAATCGCCATCATGTAAGTCACGAACGTTACAGTTAGATAAAAACTTAATAGATCTAGTGGTTGAAACTGTGAGGAGATTATACCTGTTCACCCAGAATTTGAGCTAAGAGTCTCCCTAACCATCACGGAGAAACAAAATTATATCATCATATAGTGATTGTTTTATAGAAAACTTATCTTGACACTTGTCATTTAAACCTTCGGTATGATTATCAAGTAATTTATAATACTGTTCCAGGGACATAAGAGCGTGAGATTTGACTATCTACTCAAACGATATACTTGGCGTTTAAGTGTACATTTTTATTTGCTTCTGATTCTCTATCGATTCTACTGGACGTAAAAAATATTCTAATTTTTCCCATAGAAAAAATTAAAATAAGAAGTTTATTTTATGTTCAGGAATATTTAAAATTCTCCTATAGGAAAAATTAGAATTTTAATTTCTCCTAGGAGAAACTAAAATTTTAAGTTTTCCTAGAAAATATCTAGTTAAGAATGAAATTTTAGTTTCTCCTAGGAGAAATTAAAATTTTAATTTTTCCTAGGAAAATTTTAAATTTTCCTGAATTTTAATTTCTCCTGCGACATATATATTATTACTATTGACCACTACGATTAATATTGTTATGCTTTTGTTTTTCTTGTAAAAATATAAACATAAATCATGTCAAAAGTTTTTGATCATGATATTAAATATTATATCATGTTGCTCTATTTCAATATAGAATTTTCATATTTACAAAATCCATGTTAAAAATAAAAATTTACGTTTGTATCAAATATTAGCAACAATAACATGGTTAATATCTTCTTCTCTATTTTAGAGAAACAATACACTATGCTACTTCGAATTGATATCAATGTATTAATAGTCGTGGTATTAATCGTAGTGGTCAATAGTAAACAAAATAAAATATATATATTAACACGTACACATATATTATAAATCAAACAAATATGTTGAGAAATACTCATCACTTATACAATCTATACAATAATTGTGAACGTGATGAATTAACATCATATTAGAAATAAAGACATATGATTAAGAACTTAAACGTTTGAAATTGACAATAAAACCATTAAACATCTTATTCTGATGATGATCACTCAATAATCGAAAATTTAATAAATCAATAAATAAAATACATTATATGATTTACATATTATAAAAAAAGAAAAAGATACATTACATATCATTTAAATGTTATATTATAATATATTTGTTATTTTTTTTATTTTTCTTATTACAATATAAACATAAATCATGTCAAAAGTGTTGATTATGATATTAAATATTACATCATGTTGATGTATTTCAATATAGAATTTTCATATTCCCATATTTGGTTGGTACCTCTGAGAAAAAAGTAGCAGACAATTTTTCTGTAGCCCTTTTATTTTTGAATTTTCTATGTGCTGATGACTACTCATTGTGTTAAATAATCGCTTCCATTTTGACTATATTAGTGGCGATTATACAAATACTATGGTAGTCACTAGATACTATTCATCTATCTTGTGTGGTGTATGTTTTAGATGAAAGCTTGAACAGAGAGCTTTTTGAGACTTATAAAGCAGCAATAACGTAGCTCATAATGAATGGTGCTTATTTTTAAAATATCATACAGATTTTGCAAAAAATGGTTTCCATAGGTTGTTCACTCTATCTCAGTGTGATCTGATCAAGATATCGGGTGGAGAATATGTTGAACTTTCCATAATCAGTTTTCATGTTTACTTAAAGTTCATTGTACAGTTTTGATTAGAATCGAATTCTCTAGCGAATTGTATATCAATTGACTATTAAACTAGTGAAGATTCTGTCAAAACTCAATAAATCACGTCGTTCATAATCTTTACTACTAAAGGCCACGAAGGTACCTATCGATTAGAGTATTGAAATAGGGTGAAAGTTTGTTCGATCAAGTTGAAACTTGCAGAAGGGACTACTAACTTTGTCCTCTATAATTTCTGAAAGTTTCACATTAAATGATCTTTGTTTTTCCATTGCGCCAAAATCAGCTGACCAGAAGTTCAGCTCAAACTATAGAGAAATGTAGTACTATTTTGTGATGATGCTTGTCAGGTTAAACTTTAATATCCCAAACTCTTGATTGCATGGTCAAGTAGCACTAAGGTAGTAGTCTTTGAAAAAAAACATCTTGAGCAAATTCTATCATGCTGATCCGTAGAAAGCCTACCAAAAAGATCCCAAAAAGATAGGCTATTTTTGTGCCTAATATATCAGAAGAGCAGAGCTCTATAGTTAAAAAATTCAATGAATACTTTTTCATAATATAGCCATGATAGGACTTGATAGTCAAATTTGCCCATCTCAAAATGTACGTCTGATAAAATTTTTAGAACTTTATCAAGTACTTGTGAGACGATATTGTGAAAACATTTTAATTGAAAAACTGATCACAACAATCTTAAATTGATAAAAAGCTGTTTTGATTATCTTGAATTTGGTCGAAAGTAAAAATGTCGAAAAGAAAAATGTCGAAAGCGAAAAAATATCGAAACTGAGGGAATAATTCAACACATAGTACCATTTTGAAACTCAATAAGCCAACAAACTTAATTCAAATCAAATGTTTATTATTAAAAAAGAAGAATACAAGACAAGCTAAAAGTTTTTTCGACATAATAGTTTGTCCATATTTAAATAATGTTCGTATTGCTTGCTTATACCTTCTGCTTTGCTACAATTAAAGATAAACTGTTGAGAAGGTCAGATGGTGTAATAAGATAATTATTATATCTATAATATAACGTGTTTATTCGACTTTGTAATGCAGTTGTTCGTTTATTTTTCGGCTTTGATGCACTAGAAGACCATTGAAGTTTAATGTTTTGTGCATGTTTTTCTTCAGCTTTCATAAAATTGATCAAGTGACAGATGTTTGGATGATTACAACAAATACGAGAATTCAATCTATTGTGATAATCCACAATTGAAAAAATTTATTTTGATCATTTTACTTAATTAAACGAAAATCATCACCTTCACAAACATTATTTGTTCGACTGTCAAAGCCGACTACATTCCATAAATCAATATTGTACATCCAATTATTGTTAAAATACTCCAACAGTTTTATCATTGACAAACCAGCTAAAAGATTTGCAACTTCTTGTATCTCATCAAAAGCATATAAAATTCTATCACGGGGCATCAGGGGTAACGCCATAAGCTTTCTACATAAAGCACATAATGTTTCATCAATAGCATACTGATGCTGCAATTCCAGAAACTGGATGTTCCTATATATTGAATGACAAAAATGGAAGTAGCAGCAGATGTGTTGAGACGCTGGAAACTAAATAGACCAAATAGAAAAGTATGTTTTTCGATTAAGTAGGATGATATTTACTTCATCTTTCACAGCAGCTATCGAACCAGATTCGAAATCTGTCATAATAACTGAAGGTGAAAAAATGTTTTTTCTTTTCAAAGCAGCATTTTTTAATTCAGCAAAAATTTTATCTATATGTTGAAGCTTTTTTATTCACCAACAAATCAAACACACACTGTATGCCTTAAAATAAATGAACAAAATTTGAAATGAAAAATAAGCCTTGCTTACAAATATCAAAATGAACAGCATATGGTATTATATATATTTGTGAGAAATGCGACGAGGTCTTTTTTTATGTACCATCCATGTAAATTGTTGACGAATTAAATAATAAATCCAATTTAGAATCACTTGCAAAAAGTAATAAACGTTCATGTCTTACACGAGCTTCATCAATAAATAAAAATCGTTCTTTTCCAATTATTAATTTAAATTCATCAGGTACATCAAGAAAATATGATTGTGGTACTGATGGTATCATTTTACGTCGATTTTTGACAGTAGTTGGATCTAGAAAAAAGAAGATATTATCTACTAATTAATACTTGTAAAATAATTTACATATTTCGTGAACTGTTGGAAATATCGCTGCCGCCACTGAATTCATTGTACTTGTTGCCATTTCTTCATCATAAAATTTCCCAATAGATGTTAACTCATTAATTGCACGTGTTTTTATTTTTTCTCGAGTTTGCTTGATTTGAATAGACTCGGGATTTGGTGGGTGGGGATGATCAGTTTTACCGTCACACAAATAATTATTCTATAAATCAGTATGGATATACACGCTACAGCTTTTAGCTATACATATCTAATACTTTTTATACGGTGTTTTTTGTTGCATTTCTATACATGTTGATTCATTACCAGAAGTGGCTGTGCTTTATTCGACTTCATGAAATTCAAATCATCGCTCATAGTAGATATTGGTTCGATGGTGTCTACCATCTTTATTTTTTTTTCTCGATTAATGAACAACTGATGATTCTTATTCTTCTTTATCTATATCATTTTATAGAATGACCCATGGTCTAATAGAGGAATGATAAATTTATCATAAAATAAGTAAATATTCATCGTGCAACAATGACATCTTCATACAAATCTTTCAAAACACTTACTATTTTAAACTTTTACTTTTTCTACAATAAATTTTTACTTTGATGTTCTCACTTTCCATATATTAGTTCCCAGTTTTTTTCTTTTCGACCAAATTCAAGACTACCGCTATTTTGATTGTTTTTAGAAAGATTATCATATCTCAGCAAAAACTCATTCTTTAGGTCTGAAAATTTGGTTATATACTTAAACCAGTTCGCTCTACAAGAGAGGATAGTTTTCATCTAGATCTAAAATTTTCGATTGAGCAGCTATATTGAAATTTGATAGCCTCTCTCGTGCAGTGACTCGTAGGAGACATACAACTTCAAATTATACAATGACTACAAAAAGAATACAAATTTAACACCATAAATCTAGACGTGATCCCATAAAGCTCGTTATAAGACATAAAAGTACCTTCACCACTACTCTTAGTATATTTTAAGCTGAATTTATTAAATAATCAAAAATCTACAGAAAAAGATACGAAAATCTAACTACATAAATATTCTTAATGTTTAAAGATAAATTTTGAAAACGTTTCTCAGTATGTATTGAGATTTTATAGCCTTGCTCGAGCCATCAAACTAAGCAAAGCCATGGTACTTTGAAAGTCAAAGCTACTTCTTCTTGCCATATTTCTTCGTATATGTTGTTGTGCGAAGGCTAAATAATTCAATAAGACATACTATATATTTAATATCCATGAATACTTACCTATCCTATTCTGCTGGATTTGTAAAGCTTGAAAGTATCTTGCCAGATTAGCAGCGGGTATCGATCCATTAGCTCCACCAGCCAGTTGTCGAAACAATCTATACTGAGCCGCTCTATTTCGATATTGTTGAGCTACAAAAAAATTCAAAGCAGTGTTCGTTTCAAATCTGTAAATATTTTCCTATACCCATAATGATATCATAATCGCTAGGACCGCCTCGAAAGCCTCGTCTCGCCATAATTGAAGCTCTTCGCTCACGTCTAGGCATAGGTCTTCGACGAGAAGATCTTCCACCAGGACCCTAAACAGACATTAAAATTAACAGTTACATAGAAAAAAACAATCTATTCTCTTATTGATCTATTCAATTAAAGAATGAACGTACCCCTTCTGCTTCCTCATTAGTTTCAGCTGATGAAGCTTGTGCATCAGTTCCTTCACTTTCATCATCTTCATCATCTTCATCATCTTCATCATCCTGATCATATTCATCTTCATCCTCTTTCTCTACTTCCTTAATAAAGTCATCTATATAGTCATCAACATTATCAACACCAATATCCTTAATCAATTCATCGTATTGTGCTTCATCCATGGCTTCAACATCTTCCGTGTTTTCTTCCGTCATTGTGTATTATGCTAATCTGAAAAACGGAATATATTTCAAAAAAAAATACCGACATGCACTTGTGAAGGTCTTGTCGTTGCTATTATTCACTCATATAATACAAATATGAAGCATGTAAAATATAATCAAAGCATAGGATTGTAGGTCGTTTATATACACTATCCATATACATTATTTAATCGTATGTTATGCATGAAAGACTTTGTTTTTTTGCTTTTGTTAAGCCAAGGATGGATTATTATGATGAGAAAAATCAACGGACAAAAATAAATCCATACCAATCAGCGAGTAAAAAATATTTTTCGAAATAGTTTTAAAATAGATCAAGAGCAGTTTAATACATTTTGATGTGTTTACATTAGTGTGTTTGTATTTATGCTTTTGAATAATAAGATATGAATAATCGTATATAATTAATGTATTACAGAGCGTATCTCTTTATCCTTGAATACGATCTTTTTCTTACATGATAATCAAGTATATATATTTTTTTATTATAGCTGATTTGACTTCAGTATATTATGACACTGTGTTAACCGATATCTTTTGTTAAGTATCAAAATTTTGATTTAGTTCTAGTTAATATAACATAAAAAATCTTTCGATAGTTACATTTTCTGAAAAATCTGACAGATTTCGATCGAATTTATACAATAAATGGAAACTATAACAATGTTTTATGTATTTATTATTTTAACACGAATTTTAAATGAGAATTGATTATTTATTTATTTTAAACTCGTTAAATCGATTCATAAAAGTAAACGAATAATAGAACATAAAAGTAGATATTTTGCATACGAAAAAAAAAAAAACAAAAAATATATTCAATGACAATGTGTATATTATACAGGTGTGTATTCTATACAAGTTGTATACTGATAAGAAAAAAAATAAAAATATTGTTGATGATGTTTGTTGATAACAAAAAAAAGTATATTTAACTATAAAACAGTTTACATCCTGTTTGGTCGAATTCTTTTTGGTCACTTGTACCATGCTTTAATAAATTTACTCTGATCATTTTCATCTTATATCTATTAAATGTCAAGGACAAAGCAAAAACAAACAAGAACTACTAAATTAATAAGCATATTCTATGTATTATTTAGATTCTCTGTATTCTTGTTTAGTCAAAAAATCCAAACTATATCCAAATCAGAGATAAAAACAAATTGATGCAAATATATGAGAACCATTACAAATAAAAATACCCAGTAATAAACAGACAATAAACCGAATTCATCACGACATTTTAATGATAAACAATTCTGCAAGTTAAATGTAAAATTATGATAATAAAGAAAACAAACAAAATCAAAATAACACAATCTTTATTAATAATTTTCGATTTATAGGTTCTATTAAATGACAGTAAAAATTTCAGATGAAAATAAGTAATGTGTATGCGAATAAACTGTTCCCTATAGAGGAAAAAGAAATGTGTTGAATTCATATGCATTTTGTCGTTCGTTAAGCCAAAGCAACAATCATTTATGAACAACATAGAAAAACAACATGAAAAAAATCTTCTTTCCAACTTAACGTGTTCATACTTGTTAGCTCGTTTTGACGAGCTGATGTTTATTTATTTTTCAAAATATATCTGACCAGTTAAAAAATGTCCTTAACAACACGTACATATATATAACAACATACAATTGAGAAAGAGGAGAAAGAGAAAAGAAAGGAAGAAGAGAAGAAATATATATTAGTAAGATATCAAGGGAAAGAAATGAGAATGAATCACCGCTAACATTCCTCCCCTCTTATATTAGATGTGTGTCCGCACACATTATTACTGAATTGATCCAAATAGTTGTCTTTTTTAATTTGATTACATTCAAATAATTCATGTTTCATTATCAGAGATAAAGTTCGATAATGATTTGATAGTTAAAATAAGTTGATAATGACCATAATCATAAAATTAAAGACGAAGGTTTAGCATTATTGGATAGAGTATTGTTTCAACAAAAATAATCTAATTGAAATAATATCGATATGTACTGTTCACGTGATAAATCAATATGAAATAATTTTTTATATATTGAACATTGTGAATAATCGATGTATCCAATATAAGAAGAACTGGAATTAAGTTTGATAATAAACGATAAGATGATAATACTATATTTCTTCATATGTTTCATATATTTAATGCAATATCATGAATTGTAATGATGATCATGTGATTCATAAAATAGTTGATGTTGTTGAATTAATCAATGTTAATAATGTTGTCGAATTACATGATATATATAAATTTTTCTTCGTTTGATGTGTTAGATGTGTATATAACATAATCTTGCTTTGATCAGAGTAAAGTTGTGAAATGTACCACATGCATCATTCTTTGCACGAAACAGTGCGCGCATACTGTTAAAGTGCTTTGATTGTTACACATTATGGTTGAATAGTATATCATTTCGTATTAAGTATTAAAAAGAAGAAAAAATATTTAATATTCGAGTTCGACAGCCCCTCCTTGTTAGTGAGAAGGTGAATTTCTGTCTCCCCGGCATGGACTGCTGAATCAAACTGAATCATTTTTACTTAATTATAAATGATAATTATTTTTACTTTACTAATTGTGCCATCTAATACACATCTTTCCCTCTCGGGATGTGTTTATTGGATTAAATTCCATCGTTCCACCAATGGAACGATAACATCCATTGTCACTTGTCTTGTTAATGTTAATTTTTTAACATGTTGAATAATGAATGTTTTATGTCCTAATTGTTTAATAATTTTAAATGGACCTTCATATCGTATATCAAATTTGTTTCTAATATTTCTTGTTTTGATTAAAACTAAATCATTAATTTTTAATAATAATTCTTATCTATTTAAGTCATATCGAGCTTTATATTGTCGTTGATTTTTTATAATATTGTTTCGAGCTTCATTTACTAATTTTTCAAGATATATTCTAATTTTTTGACCATGCTCTGGATCTTGTGTGAGCGAAATAATTTCTTTTTGTTGATCAAATGGAAGTGTAACTTGTCTTCCATGCATCATTTCGAATGGTGTTTGTTTTGTTGTTGCATGTATTGATGTATTATAATTAAATGTAACAAATTGTAATACTTCATCCCAATCCGTACGTCGTTCATTACATAAGGCGGCAATTTCTCCATCCATCGTAGCATTAAATCGTTCAATTTGTCCATTAGTTTGTGGATGATATACTGTGGAATAAAGATGAGTGACTCCAATATTTTCAAATAATTTGTGCATAACTTGAGAAGTAAAATGAGTACCATTATCGGTTAATATACATGTTGGAGTGCCATATTTTAATATAACATCGTTTATAAAAAATTTCACTGCTGTTGTTGCTGAGCAATCTCGAACAGCTTTTGTAATAACAAATTTTGATAATACATCTGTTAGAGATATAATGTATCTATTTCCTTTTTTTGATGTTGGAGTTATTGGACCATGAAAATCCATACTTAATAATTTCCATATTCCTTCTGGTGGTGGTATTGGTTTTAATTTTCCTGGTAATTTTTGACGACGATAATTATTTTGTGCACATGGTAAACATGAGTCTAAATGATTTCGAATATCTGCTGTCATTGTTGGCCAGTAATAACGTTCTTGGATTTTTCTTGTTGTTTTGTCACGTCCAAAATGAGCTCCATTAGCAGGTGTATCATGATAAATTTTTAATATATCAGCACGTATCCGTCCTGCTGGAACATATGGAACTGGTAAAAGTGGTAGTTGTTGTTTCCTAAATAATATTCCATCTTCAACAAAATAATGTTTTTTATTCTTAATATTCTTTTTGATTTCTTGTATTGTCTTGTCTTCTTCTTGACGTCTTCTTAAGTCATCCATATCAAATGGGATGATCTTGTTTGGATTTTCATCTGATGATTTGATTATTAGTTCTTCATCAGTCGCTGCTTTCCCTTGTGGGATGAGCTCATTATTTTTTTCATCTGTCGGTTTAATAGATGATGTTGCCATTGCTTGTTGTTGTAATTTGGCTTGAGCTCTAGTAATTGCTGTTGTCATTTTTAATGGAGTTAAATTGTTATTTAATGATAAAAGTGATAAATCTGTTTGTGTTGATGTTGATTCATATTGAGTTCGTTCTTCAATATCTTCTTCAGCCATTTTGGACTGGTGATCTTGAAAGATAATATGCCATATGATTTTTCTTGCCTTGAATGTGTTTCACCTTAAACCGATATTCAGCTAATTTCAATCGCCATCGTTCACATCGTTTATTTAATTGTTCTTTGTTTGTAAAATGTATTAATGGTTCATGATCAGTTTCTAATATAAATTCATGTCCACGAAGATATTTGTCCCATTTTTCTATTGCTTGTATTATTGCATAACATTCTTGTTCAATTGTTGGCCAATTAGTTTGTGTTTTAGTTAATTTCTTTGACATGTATGCTAATGGTCGATCACCATTGGGAGTAACTTGTAGTAGAACAGCCCCAATTCCATCTACTGAAGCATCAGTTTGTAATTTAAATTGTAACGTATCATCAGGTAAATCAAGAATGAGATCGGTTGTTAAGATTCTCTTAAGTTGGTGAAATGCTTCTCTTGCTTCATCAGATAATTCAAATTTTAATTTTTTATTATTCTTTTGTTGTTGTAATGTTGCTGGAGAATATTTATGTAATGGTGCAGCGATGGTGGAGAATTTTGGAATAAATCTTCTATAATATTCCGCTGCTTTGACGAATCTGAATGCTTCTTCAGCTGATGTTGGTTCTCGTGTATCAGTTAAACCACGGATGTTGTCTGGATCAGGTTTAATCGTACCAGCTTTAATTAAATGTCCAAGAAATAATATTTCTGTTCTTGCAACTTCGCATTTATCAACATTTAATTTAAAATTTGCTTCGTGTAATAATAAATATACTTCTTCGATATGTTTTAAATGTTCATTAAAATTTTGTGAATAAATAATAATATCATCGATATAGGAGAGTACATGTTTCCATCTGTTTGGACCTAAAATTTGATTAACAATACGTTGAAATGTGGGTGGTCCATTAGTAAGGCCTTGTGGTAATACTTTAAATTGAAAATGTCCATCTCGAGTTGAAAATGCTGTTTTTGGTCGATCTAATTTGTCTAATGGTACTTGAAAATATCCAGCTTTAAAATCGAATTTTGTAAAATATGTTGCTTTTGTTAACTGATCATAAATATCATCAATTCTTGGTAGAGGAAAAGCATCTTTTGTTGTAATTTGGTTTAAACGACGATAATCAACACAAAATCTTGTTGTACCATCCTTCTTTTTAACTAATACGACTGGAGAAGACCATGGAGATGTTGAATGTTCAATAATTCCATTTTTTAATAATTCATCTGTTTCTTTTCTTAAGATTTCTTGGTCTTTGTTAGATTTTCTATATGGTGGAATATGGATTGGTCGATGTGTACCAGTATCGATAGCATTTTTTAAAACAATATCAATTTTTGATGGTCTTCTAATATCAAATAATTCTCCATATTTCCATAAAATTTTTAAAATTTGTTCTCGTTGTTTATCATCACTAATATGTTCAGTTAATTTATTTATTTGTTGTCTTATATCTTCAGGATAACATTTATTTCTAAGATGTTTAAATAATTCATTGCCAGTATTAAAATGTTGATAACATTCACGACATTGATGTTGTTTCCTATATAATGTTGTAGTTAACGTATCGTTGAAATTTAATTTATTTGATTTATTCGCTCCTTTCCCTTCAGGAATGAGCTCTTTACACGCTTTTCCTTTAGGAATGCGTTCTATTAAATAATTCGATGGTACGGTGACACCAATTGTAGAAGACAATTATGTCACTATACCTATTTTGGTTCCTTCGGAAAGTGTTTGTTGCCGATTCATTGCATTAATTATACTAATTTTTATTCTTCTGTTTTCAATGTTTAATAATGCAGTTGCAGTAAATAATGCTTTATTTTTTAATCGAGGATTTGGTTCAAATAATACATCTATCATATTGTTATGTTGAACTTGTGCTTCTACTAATTTTTCTGAAAAAGGAGGAAGAGTAATATGATTAATAAGAGTAACAGGATAATTTAAAAGAGGTGGTTTTACAAAAGGAGTTGATAGTTCTTTACCTCGACTTCGGATCATAACTCGTTGTTCAGGTGTAAGAATATAAACATTGTTTGATTGAATCCAATCACTACCTAATATTAAATTCGTAACAAGATTTGTTGTAACATCAGCAATAACTGTTGTTTTTAGTTCATTAACATTTATTTCTAAGAGTATTTCACCAATAATATTTAATGTTGAGCAATTGGCAGATAAATGATTTATTGTTTTTGGTATTAATTTTTCATGTGGTATATCATTTAATAAGTGTTGATGTATAATAGTGATGGCCGATCCGGTATCGATAAGTGCTGTTTGTGGAGTGTTGTTGCATAAAATTTTGACAAAAATAGGATTAAATGCTGTTGTGCTTGATGACTTTTTTGCTCCACAGGGATCGTCGCCATCATCCGATCCCTTTATTCGAAAAAATGTTGTTGAGGACAATCACGTATTTGATGATTTGATTGTCCACATTTAAAGCAGTCGTTGTTCTTCTTATAAAAGTATTTAGTTGTTGTATGATTGGTTTTGTTGGAAATTAAACATGGATTTAATTGTTGTGTTTTGTTTTCTGGATAATCTTTCCGATTATGTTGAGGAGTTGAATGATTATTTTGTTTTGAATATATTCGATTATTTATTGTTGTTGATTGTTGTTTTTTATAATAATCACGTGGCGTATATTGTTGTTGGTTTAATGAGTGAGTATTTGTTAATGTTGGTTGAATTGTTGCTGTTGGTAATGCACGTTCAAAAAACGGTGGATTTTTTGGTCCATAATTTGAAGTATTAACTTTTTGTTGAAGTCGTTTTTTTATGTATTCTTCTTCTCTGGCAACTTGTAACCATTGTTCTGGTTTTTTGATTTCTTTTTCATTACGAATTAAATGTTCTTTTAATGAATTTTTAACACCATTCTGTAATACCGTAATAACTTGTTGTTTAGTAATAAATTGTTGAAACTTTCTGTATTTTCGAATAACATTTTCATAAAATGATATAACAGATTGGTTTTCTTCTTGATGAATATAAAAAAATTCTTGTATTAATTGACTGTCTGATGTAAATTCTTTAAATCGATCTCGTAATGCTTTTTCAGCATCACTCCAGTTGGTGAATAATTGTAAATTGTCTTGATACCATCGTAATGCTGGTCCTGTTAATTTGCCCATCGTTTCAAGAATTCTTGTTTCATCTTTTAATTTCATTAATGAAAATAAATTATTTAAATCGAATAACCATTCATCAATATCGAGTTCATTAGCTTCTCCTGAAAATTCAGCTAATTTCTTCATTGCTTCTTTTTGACTTGAATGCAGTTGTCGTGCTTCCATCGAGGTTGTTTCCATTTCTTGCATAAATGACGTATGGTTTGGTTTTTTATTTCTTGTTTGTGTTGGTGAATTCGTAATTAATTCATATGGTAAAAGATTTGCTCCACTTCTTTTAATCGCTCTTCTTGTACCGGTAGCCGTTGTAAAAAAATTATATGTATATTTTCACTTAAAGGAAGGGCAAAAAAATTTGAACTTTATATATAAAAAGATACCTTCTTATGTTAATTAGATTTTAAAATTAACTTGTATGTAAATATGTAATTTTCTCTTTCTTAGAAGGATGAGATAGTACTTCACTCTTTCCGTTACGGATGAGTAAATTTATTAACCAGTTCGTTCTTCTTCGATGTAGTAAATAGGAGAAGATGGGTCACGGCACCAAATTGTTAGCTCGTTTCGACGAGCTGATGTTTATTTATTTTTCAAAATATATCTGACCAGTTAAAAAATGTCCTTAACAACACGTACATATGGGGGTTATCAACTTGACTGATACCCCACTGTCGATTTATTCATCTACGCATTAGAAAAATCTGATTTTTTTACCAATTATACTACATGTATAATTCTATTGATCTATCACTATTTGAAATCTATATATCACTAGAAATCAGGATTATTATGTACATCTTTGTGTTTATTGCACCAAACGTGCTTCATATGGTCTATGTTAACCTATACCATTCCTACGAAGAAGTTTGAAAAAAAACAAAGATGAGTATATAGCTTCATAAGCGATTAATAAGAAGATACCACTTATCATTTTGTTTATCTACGAATAGGATGTTTATTTAAGCTCAAATTGCATAAAGCAGCAACTACTTGTATGATTTTAGTTTTTTTATGAAAATCATCAACACGTCCTCTGTAAACACCACCAAGAATAGCATAAGTTTTGAGACGTTGATTAATATTTTCAATCGCTGCTCTCGCGCTATTAATATCACAATTGAAATCTTTATCTTCTTGTGTTAATTCACGTCCACGGGGTTTCTTTCTTGGAGTGACTACATATTCTTCACCGAGATATGCCTTGTCACCAATAATTTGTACAGATTCTTCAACATGTTCTAACAGCCCTGATTCCCGAAGAACTGTAATATCATGTACACTTCCATGGTAACATTCAGAAACATGTACTATTCGATGACGAAAATCACGAGCTACTTGCACTTTTATTGCATAATTTGTTGGACTTTTTGCATGATAATATTCTTTACGTTGTTCTGAATCATGCGGTTCATGAATTGCAATAAAAGTCGAGTCAACAATTAATTTATGATCTTGTTGAGGTCCATGTGGTGTTCTTCTGTTTGCTAGATCAGCAGGTAAAGAAACAAATGCTGGATATACACACGAATGTAAAATATCCACTACTGCGGATAAGAAATAATTCACCGCTGGTTGACTAATATTCAATTTTGAAGCAATGTAAGGTTCAGAATGATAATGTTTTAAATACCATAATGTATGTGGTGGTACTGTTCGCAAGTAACTTGTCTCTATGGGAACAATAATTTATTAATGGTTCCTCACAGAGAGAATATAATTCTTGTACTTGTTCGACGTCATGCCCAGTATGTTGTATGCAAGATGTATCAGTGCGTTTCCATTCTGACCATGGACGTTGATCTAGAATATTTAAAAAAGTGCAATAGTGATTTATTTTTGACTAGTATTGTAGAAGCAGATAATGAGCTAAGAGATGCATGCGTAAATAAAAAATCGATGTTACTTACTATCATCTAAAGTTTGAAAGCGTTGCTGAATAGCAACTTGCTTCTCTTCCATTTGTTTTTTGTTTTTCTTCTTCAAGTTCTGGTGTACAACAATTACAGTTGTCACGATGACGATAATAATTAGTGTACAAACCAGATTTTCCCGAACCAGTACATGTCCAAGTAAGCATCGAATCGCAATCAGTACAATATTTTCGACGATCAGTTGGAGTAGATCCACATTCAGCACAATTCCATTCAATTTATGGAGAAAACGTAATTCAAGTGTACTATGTATTTGTTATCGATAGAAAGTGTGTTAGAGAAAACAAAGAAAGGAAAGTGAAAAAAAATCACAGCTAGAACAAGAATGACTTCACTTGAATATATCGCTAGCATCGAATGGATAAAACATAAACCGACCACAGGATGTAAACAAATACCACGTGAAGCACGTTTGGTGCAATAAACACAAAGATGTACATAATAATTCTGATTTCTAGTGATATATAGATTTCAAATAGTGACAGATCAATAGCATTATACATGTAGTATAATTGGTAAAAAAATCAGATTTTTCTAATGCGTAGATGAATAAATCGACAGTGGGGTATCAGTCAAGTTGATAACCCCCATATATATAACAACATACAATCGAGAAAGAGGAGAAAGAGAAAAGAAAGGAAGAAGAGAAGAAATATATAGTAAGATATGAAGGGAAAGAAATGAGAATGGATCACCGCTAACAATACTACTACACTCATATCAAATAACTCTAATAGGTACAATTAAATACATATGTATAGAATAAATAATGAAATTATTATTTTTCATTAAAAGAATGCAAGAAACAAAAAAACTACAGTCAATATTTTCAACATAATCAAAAATACATTTGAAAACAAAATAAATACAAGTAACGTTCATTGACATTGAATGTCGATTCACTTGGCTCTAGATTGACGGAATGATGACAAAGATGTCCTTATATTTTTTTGAATAAAAATGAATTCCGTATAATGATGACCTTAGGAGAAATTATTAATATTTGTAACATTTTCTGTATTACATACTATAGATATATTCAAATAGTTCACAACAAATATTGAAAGATGCTAATGTATATGATAAAGTTTATGCTTTAGTAAATTATAACGACAAACATGGTGATTCATGTCAAAGTTATGGCCATTTCTAATACGGACATGGCCAATTGTGACACAGACATGCTCATTTAAGCCACAAGAATGGTCAACTGTGCCATAGCAATGGTTCATTGCGACGGGGAAATACTGAATGGAGCCATAGAAACCGTCATCCGTATAATGAAAATGCCCAATTGTGTCAAATAAATGGTCACCTGTACCACCAAAGTGGTACTTTTGTAGCATGAAAATGGTCACTTGTACCATGACTATTCCCTAGAGTGAAAGGCTAGGGTCTAGAAACGGAAATTCACCTGTGTCTGTCTGTAATACTTGGTACAAATGACCATTTTTGTGGTACAAAGTACCATAGTGATGGTACAACTGACTATTTTGATGATACAAAGTATCATCGTCATGGTACAAGTGACCATTTTCTTGATACAAAGTACTATAGTGAGGGTACAAGTGACCATTTTGATCGTACAAAGTACCATAGTGATGATACAAGTGACCGTTATTGTGGTACAAAGCACCATTGTGATGGTACAAGAGTGTGGATGTGGTGTGGGTGTTTGGTGTGGGTGTGGGTGTGGGTGTGGGTGTGGGTGGGTGTGGGTATGGGTGTGTTGGTGTTCTCTGAGTCTACCCACACCCACACTCGCACCCACACCCACACCCACACCCACACCTGCACCCCACTCTTATAATCGATAAGTTTCAATGGAACTATGTTGTACTTAAGAGAGACCAGCTTCTATTGATATACACTACTTTTTGAGAAAATGATATTTCAATGTGCTCAGTCCTATACCACAGGATAATTGCGTACCAACGCGAAACTTTCTCAAAATCTGCACATCGTTGGCCTCTATCTGTTTCATCCATCAATTTTTTCGAAACAGTACGGCCATACTGGTAATGTATATAATGGTGCTGCGAAATTCCCTATTTTAGCTAATCATGGCGCAGGTAACTTGACAAAATCTTAGCAATATTTAGTACTCGTGGTAACAAATTTTGTGTATAAATAACCAGTAAAGTATGCCTCGTCATTTAATATAAATAAGGTCTTTGCAGATTGAAAAAAAGTTTTTGACCCCGAGACCGTTGGAGGGGGTACGGGAATAAGATTGCAAATAGTGGTCCTCTTTTTTTTAAAATTCTTTGATCAATTTCATTTCCAATGATATAGATGTTATGTATGGGTGAAACTGGAAAAGAATCTATATGGAGCTTGTGTTCAGTGGAAAAAAAGCAAATGTTTCTATATTCCAGTACCCCCCCTCCAGGGGTCTGGGGGTCAAAACTTTTTTTCAATCTAAAAAGACTTTATTTATATTAAAAGACGAGATATACTGTACTGATTACTTATACACAAAAATTGTTACCAGGAGTACTAAATATTGCTAAGATTTTGTGAAGTTACCTGGACAATGATTAGCTAAAGTAGGGCATTTCGCACCATCATTTCATACATTACAAGTCTGGCCGTACTGTTTCGAAATATTTGGTTTATGAAACAAATAGAGGCCAATGATGTGCATTTTTTTTTGAGAAAGTTTCGCGTTGGCACTCAATTGTTCTGTGCCACAGGACTGAGCACACTGAAATATAATTTTCTCAATAAGTAGCGTATACCTATGAAAGGTGATCTCTCTTAATTATAACATAGTTCCATTGAAACTTATCGATTATAAAAAATGGAAAAGCATTCATAACTGTATTGAATTATGTCTAGAAAAGGAAATACTCCTATATTTATGACCAAGGATCATAATAGCTCTATTATTTCTACATGCTATAGAATGATGAGCAGTATATGGGTCCTTAGGACATAAAGGCTCAATGAAAATTAGACTGCCTATATACCATTCGATGCGCCTTTAAATTCTCTACAAAACCACATACAAGACATTCTTGTTCTAACTAGGCCACAAAATCCGACAGGGTCCTTTAATAGATTTTAATCAAATTTTTATGAAGATAGCTGTTGTTAGGGTTCGCGCTCGCGAAGAGCGACGAACACTGTTAAAGATTATGTGTATTTTCTTCTCTCTGTTTATTCTTTGAAAAAACTAATGTTTATATACGAACATAAAAATAAGGACAAAAGTAGAATAGAATAGAAAAGTTAATCAAGGACAAAGCAGAGCAATAGAAACGAAATAACAGAAACGAAAATATCAAAGAAAAGAGAATAGATAGAATCGAGGTATATGTAGTTACAATTAGGGGTGGGAAGGTACCGTTCCCAGACCGTTACCCGGTAACGGTTCCTATGGAAGGAGTTACCAGTTACCCAAGTAACTGGTAACGGGACCGTTATCAGTTACTTTTTCGTGGTAACTTTTTAAAAAGACTAAATATCACTTCTATTGGACCGAATATTGACAATACACTAATAAAAAAAATTTGGAGTTACCAGTTACCTGGGAACGGGTCAACTTAAAAAATAACGTAGTTGCAAAATCCTGTTGATGGGAAGTAATAATTCATCTTTCTAGAGAAGTTACCCGGAAAAGTAACTGGTAACGGTCTCGTTACCACTTACCCAGGTAACGGTAACTTCCCACCCTTAGTTACAATACACCCTAACAGCTGTAATCGATTAAAATCGATTATAGTTCAGAGATGTCCATCGCGGCTCAAAATCTGCGGCTGCCGCGCCGCGGCCAAAATCAAACAAAGCTGTCGCGCCGCTCCCGCGACGTGATGGCCTGTTAAAAAAAGCTACCGCGCCGCTGCCGCGACGCGCCTTAAAAAAAACTTGCCGCTACCGCGCCGTTGCCGCGGTGGTATTCGAAAAAATGTTTTGATTTTCAAGGCTTTGACTGGTTTGAAATAGAACTGATGTCGCTAATCGATCAGATTCGCTAAGTGTTACAGTATAGCATACATAAACATGCAGATTCTGTGCAAATTCATGAATTTTTGAAATTTTTTCCTAAAAAGCTGCCGCCGCCGCGCCGCTGCCGCGACGGCAAAATAAAAATCTCTCCCGCGCCGCTGCCGCGCCGCGATAGTTTTTGGAAAAAATCTGCCGATGCCGCGATGGACATTTCTGTTATAGTTCTATGGATATGATTGTTTTTCATATGTAAAATTGATTAATATCGATTATTTAAGTTTAATTGATTAAAATTCATTACAGCTACATGAATGGTAATATCTTTCATAGAGAAAATCGATTAAAATCGATTATATTTCTATAAATGCTGATTTTTTATAGAAAAAAATTGATTATAATCAATTATTTTTTTTGTAATCGATTTTAATCGATTTTTGAATGTAATTGCGCAATTTCGAAGAAAACAATTTAAATAGGACTTCCAAACATACTTTGAATGTCGAAGTTTGGTGCATCGGCAACTTCATAATTTCTAAATAGGAGAAATAAGAAGAAGTGGTCGAAAAATATGAGTTTTGTGTTCGAATCTCGAGGAAGTCGCAAATTTTCTCGGTTTCATAAGAAAATCGATTAAAATCAGTTAGTAAGTAATAATAGATTAAAACCGATTAACAAATGATGAGTGATTAAAATCGATTAACAGGTAATGAGAGATTTAAATGGATGTTTTAGTTGAAGTAATGTAGCAGATAAAAAGTGAAGAGTCATATGAGCACAGTTAATAGATGTGAAGAAATTAACGATGATTATAATCGAACGATTTTCGTCAGATTTGCATCAAAATAAAAATAAAAATAAAATTTATTTTAATGGATTATTCTGTAAAAAATCGATTAAAATCAGTTGTTGTTTGATTTTTAATTTGATTAAAATCCGATGAAAATCGTCTCATTTTAAATGATTTTTAATCAAAAAAAAAATTGATTAAAATCTGGATTTTTTACGATTTTTTTTACATGGGCGTGATGGAGGGCTCCAAAGACCATCATAGACCGTGACAGAACAAATCCAAATTCCTTCATTCACAATATAAAAAACTCCATCGTGTTTCACATTTTTAATCCCGCAGGGATTGCGCTGAAAGCTTTATATAACTAGTCAGAGCAATATTATATATATAAAAATTATGCCAACA